AGTAAAACCTCAACTATGTCATAACAGAACTGAAGTTGGGGACTGCGTCTGTTGAGACCACCAAAGAAATGGAAGGTATGATTTTGATCTCATAGTTCATTGCTGAGTTGTTGTCGTTGTTGTACAAATGTTTGTATGTATTTTGGCTTTTGGATGCCACTCAGTCTATTGTTACATGTGCTTTTATTGTGCGCCTTTTAAAACATGTTCTTCCTTGTAGTTGGATTTCAAATGTTGCAATTGTGTTTGTCTGTATTATACCTCACAGCACAGTTATAATATGATAATAGATTGGTAATAGATAAAGTAGAACACATGCATGTCCTATTTCCATGGGTATTATTCACCATAATTAGAATTGTATTTACCATGCGGCTTCCATCTTATTATCAAACTCTGCTCTATAGTGAAGTATGAGTTGATATATTTTCTAATTCTATGTTTAGTTTCAAATACTTAAAGAGCTTAAGACATGTTCCCTGTTGTTTTCTTAGGCAGGCTTTTAGAAGTAGCTCTGTTGTAGCTCATGTTTTCATTGCGGCAATAGTAAGAGACTTTATTGCTCCCTGTTGTTCAAAGTTGCAAATGTGTGTTGCAGCATTGTCTTGTTCAGTTATAGTGAAGTAAAATCGTAATACAATGAATTGCAGCAGAGAAGTCTACTGCTCCAAAGGAAACCTCTGATGTTGAACGTGAGAAGACAGAGGTAGAGAAGTTCAAGGCTGAAGGTATGTCTTGTGTTGGCAGTGGTGCAGCTGTTTCTGTGTATATTGTTTCTGCAAGTTCTGATCATTGTTGTGGAGTTATGTGTATCAGTGACAATGTGTTGTTTAGGTCTGGACATCTTTTGCATGAATATCATTTAAATAATACTGAGGATTCCAGCATAATGCAGCCATACAGTCCCTGACAAAAGTCTTGTCGCTTATCCATTTTGTAGAAACAAAAGCTTATAACTTGACTTTAAATTTATCGATTGGTTTTAGAAATGTCTCGTATGAAAGCTAAAACCCTCCCAAATTATGCTCAATAAACTAAAATAAATTTGCTTCACTGAAAAAAGATTGATCATTTAATGAACACAGAACGGTCAGATTTTGGCAAGACAAAAGTTTTGTCGCCTACAGAAAATTGAACAAATAATTTACTTCAGATACAAAAATATGTTGCATAACGTCAGTGAATTAAGTAGTGGTGCTGTGAGATCCATATTTAATATCTTGTATGACTTCCATGAGCTTCAAGGACTACATCAATGCGGTTCCACAATGATTCATACAATTTGTTGATGAAGTCATCAGGAATAGTAAAGAAAGCGTCTTACATGCCTCCCAGAGTTCATCAAGATTCTTTGGTTTTGCCTTCCATGCTTCCTCTTTCATTCTACCCCAGACATGCTCAATGATGTTCATGTCTGGTGACTGGGCTGGCCAGTCCTGGAGCACCTTGATCTTCTTCGCCTTGAGAAACTTTGATGGGGAGATAGAATTATGCGTTGGAGCACCATCCTGTTGCAAAATTTGACCCCTTTTATGGTTGGGAATGTAAGAGGTAGCTAATATGTCTTGATATTTTAGGTTATTGATATTGCCTTCCACCCTGCAAATGTCTCGCACACCCCATAATGGATGTAAACCCAGACCATGATTTTTCCACCACCAAACTTAACTGTTTTCTGGGTGAATCTTGGAGCCATGCGGGCTCCAGTAGGTCTCCTGCAATATTTGTGGCAGCTGTGATGTAATTCAACTGAGGATTCATCTGAGAAATCCACCTTCTGCCACTTTTCCAGTGTCCATCCTTTTAGCAGGCTGTGGGCCTTGGCAAATGCCACACAGTTTTTTAATTGCCTTTTGTTTAGTTCTGGTTTCTGTGCACTGATTCAACCATGGAGGCCATTTCGAGACAGAATTCTACAAACTGTTCAGGTTGACACAGGGACTTGAGGTGACCAAGCCTGGTGGAGCTCTGCTGCAATGGAAAAGGGGCTGGCCTTGGATTTTCGAATCAACAAACGGTCCTCCCGAGCAGTTGTCTTGCGGGGTCTGCCGGACCTGGGCTTGTCAAAAACATCTCCAGTCATTTCAGATCTTTTTCTTATTCTTTGTACTTGATGCTGAGACACATTGAAGGTGTCACCACCTCAGCAGTGGATCTGGTCTTCAGCCTCTTGATAATTAACGCTTTGGTCTCAGGGTGGATCTTAGGCATGTTGTCAGAGGTCAAGTTGCAGTTGATGTGAAGGTCTGGTGTGCTGGGGTTCTTTTTATACACACCCACTAACTGACTGATCTGTAACTGATTACAGGTGAGGCTGTAATCTAGGATTGGGTGCATCATATGACAAGGCGACAAGACTTTTGTCTTGCCAAAATCTGACCTTTCTGTGTTCATTAAATGATCAATCTTTTTTCAGTGAAGCAAATTTTTTTTAGTATATTGAGCATAATTTGGGAGGGTTTTAGCTTTCATATGAGACATTTCTAAAACCAATCGATTAATTTAAAGTCAGGTTATAAGCTTTTGTTTCTACAAAATGGATAAGCGACAAGACTTTTGTCAGGGACTGTATACTGTGCTTTATATCCACAGTAATTCTATATGTTAATTAGATCTCTCATTTTAAACAAAAAGCTATTCCATTTTGGCATTTTAGTAATAAATAAGCCTTCTGTTGAGGCCAATAAAGAAGCTGAAGTGGTGTGTATAACACATGCTTACTTTTTGTTTCTGTGTTGAGCATATCTTTGGTCTTCACTCTGTCTCTGAGCTTCCATTGTTGCTGCAGGATATTGCATTTTGTGAAATACATGTTAAATGTTGCATGTGGGCTAGGCTGTTTAGTTGTGTTATTATTAAAAGATGCTAAATAGTGAGAGTGAAATTAAGGCACATCTGTTGCTCTGTAAAAAAAATAAATAAATAAAAATCAGGCAGAAATGGGTTTGTTATTATCAGTACAAGTTTAAGGGTCTTTTATTCAGTTTGATCCAAATGAACAAACATGATTAGAACTGATGATGATGTTAATAATAATGATGGAGGAGCGTTAACAGTCTGGAGATTCTCCATATATTCTGTATAATAACAGAGAAAATAGTAACAAAAATAGTATGGCTATATGTTAAATAAATTAAGCCTTGACTTTGTCATAACAGAACTGAAGCTGGAGACCTCTTCTGTTGATACCACCAAAGCAGTGGAAGGTATGTTTTTTTTAACTCATCGCCTTAGTTGAGTTGTTCTTGTTCTACAGATGTTTGGATGTTGAATGTTGGCTTTTGACCGTGTCTCAGTCTATTGTTACATGTGCTTTTATTGTGCGCATTATAAACCATGTTGTTTTGTGGATCTCAAGTGTTGCAGATGTGTTGGTCCACTGTACCTTACAGCACAGTTATATTATGATAATAGATTGGAAACAAATACAGTAGAACACGGGTGTATCCTATTTTCATAAGTATTACCATGTACTCATCATAATTACACTTTTATTTATTGTGCTACTTCCAATCTATTGATCATGCTCTGCTCAATTGTGAAGTGCTATTATGTGTCGATATAATTTCTAATTACATGCTTCATGTTTCAAATACTTAAAGAGTTTTGCTAAAATGAGTTGCAGCAGAGAAGTCTCTTGCCCCGAAAGAAACCTCCGGTGTTGAACCTAAGAAAGAGACAGAGAAGTTGAAGGTTGAGGGTACGTCATGTGTGTTAAATGTTGGTGGTCTCCCTGTTGTTTCTGAAGACTCTGTATATGATTATAGCAGCTGCTGAGGTGGCTGTGAAAGAGGGAGAACTGAAGCAGATGACCACAGAGGCTGCTGAAGGTAGGGAAGGCTGCGGGCTACATGTCTGCTACTGCAAGGGCAAACTGTTATGTTGAGTCTTATCGAACAGTGCATTCTAATTTATGGCAACCATAACTAGTATATGATTTCCAGCCTCTTGTTGATTAAGTTCTTAAATATTTTTGGAGGGTTAGTTCCCCTTTTATATGTTAAATAATTGCAATTTTGTTTTTTACATGTAAGAAATGAAGAAACCTTCTACCATATCTGTTTGTAACGTGGGTTAAAATTGTGTTCCTTGGTATTGTACAAATATGTGATGTTGTAATGGAATAGACATTTTTGATCACCTGTCTGTCTTGGCGCTTCCATTGTTGCTGCTTGTTAGATAGCTAGAATTTGTTGGTTGTGTTGTCTCTTTCTGTTTTTACGTGGTCCAGTCCGAAAATGCAAAATAGTTGAAATGAACTTTAATTACAGCAGGGAAGTCCATTGCCCCAAGTGGAGCCTCCATTACACCTAAGAAGGACGAGGCAAGAAAGGTGACATTTGCAGGTATGTTCAGACAGAGCACTGGGCCTTGACAAAAGGTCTTTGCTGTTGTGCATCATACAGTGTGCTTTGTTGCTGAGTCGATAAACCTCGTGCTGGTATTATATATAAGTCATAGCTGCTTCCTTTCTGTAGTGCCATCCCAAAGCCAGTGTCATTGGATACAAATACTCAATGGTCAGATCTGATATATGTGATTTGGATACTCAGTGTTTACATTACATTAGTAGTGTGGACAGCTGAAGCTAATGACTATCTCTTGCTTTTTTCCAAGATCTGCGCTCTGACTTTTGTGGAGTTTCACACTAGTCATGTCCATGCTCATTTGATGTTAAATTGTTTTAGAAAAGGAAAGAGATTGGTCATGTAACTGGATCACTGCTGTTCAGTGGTCAGTTTGATTTGGTGACCCGTCTGGAAGGTTGATGGTTCTATTACTGTTTGTTGCATATTATTGTATATGTGTGTCAGTGATGGTGGTCACTGAAACACCAGAGAGGATTTCTTCACTGATATGGTGATATGTTTTTTATACAGAAATACTCCCCAATATCAATAGATTATGTAAATGACAACTTGAACCTGGCCTAACATTAACTGTAATGTACAACAGACACGTAATAGTTTTGATTTGCTCTACAGTTGTTCCTGTGACAGTCATTGAGGGCCTGCAGAACCAGGAGGCTCAGGAGGGAGGCAATGTCACTTTTCACTGTAAACTCTCCAAACCTGGACTGTGTGTGGAGTGGAGGAGAGGAGCCCAAGTGCTGGGTTTTGGAGAAAAGTTCATGAGAAACCAAACTGGATGCAATTATGAATTGCAAATATTTGACCTAATGCCTGTAGACACAGGGAGCTATTCTTGTAACTATGAAGACACCACCAGCTCTGCCTCTTTGATAGTAAATGGTAGGATTGTGCATTTGTGAATTTTGTTGCATTGCGTTTTGGTGGCTATATAACTTACTAACACATGTTTTCTTTATTTAATAGCAGTCCCAGTCACTTTTACAAAAGAGCTTGAAAGCCAGTCAGCTGATGAGGGAGACAGTGTTACCTTACAGTGTGAGCTGTCTAAAGCTGGCCTGTCTTTGGAGTGGAGAAAAGGAGAGCTGGGCCTTTGTCCTTGTGCCAAATATGACATTAGGCAAATGGGGCCGCTGGCTACTCTAGTCATCCATGATGTAGACCTAGAGGATGCTGGCTCATACACCTGTGATACGGGGGACAAGCAGAGCACTGCACAGCTCATGGTTAAGGGTAGGCTCACTGTCTGTTTCTGCTACTATGACCATAGTCATGTATAGTTTGAAAGTTTATTTTCAATTACATGGTTAGACAAAAACAGATTTTTGAAATCTTTTTTGTTTCGACCAGATAAGTCTTTCTTCATCCATGATGTATTCTATGTACAATGACATTTGTCACCACATCATCCCACTGCAGCAATTTGGAGGACTTTGTGTCCAAACTCACAATTCTTAATATTAGTTTTAATGTCCATTCCCTACAGCCCAGCCGGTTCTTTTCAAGACCAAACTGGAGAACATTGACAGTCAGGCTGGTGGGAGTGTTGTTTTCCGTTGTGAAATCACAAAACCCGGAGCCCCGGTCACATGGAGGCGTGGGGACAAGATACTTGAGTCCAGCAGCAAGTTTCACCTGAAACAGGAAGGAACAGTTGTGCAGCTCATCATCTATAAGGTGAAAAGATCTGATGCAGGAGAATACTCCTGTGACACAGGCACCCAAAGGACCTCAGCCTTTCTCTCAGTGCAGGGTAGGATTTCAACTATTTTTATTTCAACTTTCTTTAATCTTTTCTCTTTCACATTTTACTCTTTTGACAAAACACTTTGAGCATGCCAGATTTGCACTTTTTATCATACTCTGTCTTTTTTAAAACAATATATCCACTTTTATCCACTTTCTTACTTCCTGTGTGTTACCCACACAAAATCCTTTCTTAATAATTTACATTACACAGAAGATATACAGAATGTAGCATGACGCATGCCCCTTGATACAGATTCCCTTCTCTCCATATTACTCTGCACTTTTTCTGAGCCCTCACTCTTTTGTTTGTTCACTTGAGTTCTTCACTTGTTCATTCTCAACCTTTACCGCACGTCCCTCCTTTTCTTCCTGAGTTCATACATTTCCATCCTTGACTGAATCCTTGAATACTGCTGACTTTCCCAAACAGAAGCTGATGTTAGCATCCTGAAGTTCTTGGATAGCTGCGTGGTGCATGAAGGGGAAGATGTCCGCTTTGAGTGTGTGGTGTCCCATGACGACGCCCCCGAGGCCCAGTGGAAGCTTCAGGATGTCCCGCTGCAGAACAATGAGATGAATGTGATTGAGAGTCAGGGCCGAGTGCACAGCCTCACGTTAAGAGGGGTCACTAAAGCAGACTCAGGCACAGTCATTTTCACTGTGGGCAACAACATGTCCACGGCCTCTCTCACGGTCAGAGGTAAGGCCGGACTGGAGATTTTCAACAAACACAGATAGAAACATGCATGGTTTCAGCTTACTAATTGGATAGCAATAACATGACAAATGGTTATAAAATCATGTATCTTTAAATGAATAAAACAGTATTAAGTGTCATCAGTAAAATTTATATTTGATTTGAACATGTTACCTGGGGACACAGATTGCTCTTTTAAATACTTATTTAACATTCCTACTTTAACTACCTATAACTTTGAGTAAAAAAAACAAATACATAAATTTTAGTTTTACAGAACACATGCCACATCAAAACAAGTTCACATTTATCTCTCAAAACATTGCATTTTGTATTGTTATTTATTGATTTTTATGTGTTATCGTGCATCTATATGGTACAGTATATGGATGGACTGGAGTTTCTTCAGCATTTGAACTGGAAATAATATAATATTAGTAAATCTGTTGAAACTTCTCTTGCCTCTAACAGTTGGTTCACTAGCGCGTTGGCTGGTCCTTTGTTGATAAATTCTATGTGGTGTATTGGCTCTAAAAATTGTTATCGTGAATTGACCACATTTTCATTTTTGTATAAGCTGCGTTTTGATTAAATGCATTGAAGTCATTGTACCTGTGATTGAAACTACCTCGCTTTCTGCCTGGCCTTTTTGTGAACCTCTATTTAAATGCACTGCTCTTTCCGGCAGCCGCTCCAGTCACGTTCAAGAAACATCTGGAGAGCCAAGAGGCCAAGGAGGGCAGCACAGCCACGCTCTCTTGTGAAACTTCCAGTATCGACGCCAAAGTGACCTGGCGCAAAGGAACTCAACTCCTCAGTTCTGGAGACAAGTATAGCATCGAGAAGAAGGGCACCACACACACTCTGACTGTACGCAAACTCTGTGTAGGAGATAGCGGAGAATATGTATGTGATACAGGGGACAAGCAATCCACCGCCTCCCTCACTGTCAAAGGTAACAAGATCCATTTGTGTCTCCATCCTCTCATCCAATTCATCTCATCTCATCTCATTTTTACTTGGAAAATAATCATTACAACCATATAACCAGCAATAACCACCAAGATATTTTAGAAATCGCTTTGAACCAATGTCAGTAATTACCCGTGATTCCACAGAGCATGTGCGAATCATCCGGGACTTCAAGGATGTTACGGTTACCACGGGCGAAGATGCGGTTTTTGAAGTGGAGCTGTCCCACCCTGGAGTCACTGCCGGGGAGTGGTGGCTTGGGGATAACCTGCTCCAGAACAATGACTTGAACCAGATGAGCAGCCAGGGCACGATGCACCGGCTGGTCCTCAAGATGGTGACCACAGACGAGTCCGGAGACGTGGCGTTCGTGCTGGGAGAGGAGAAGTGCGTGGCTTGTCTGCAGGTGGAGGAGAAGCCCAAAGGTAATGGATGTTGAAGGGTTGTATGAAAGGTTACAATTCATAGAGTTACCATAATTAAAACTCAGGGAAAACGTGGAATTTTACATGACACATTTACTAAACTAAACTAACTACTACTTAAGTTTTAAATGAATAATAATAAGAGAGATTCCCATACTTATCAACCACCTTTACAAATATTTCTTTTAATAATGTTTTTCAGTTACTGTGGGATGTAAAAAAAGGTTTTATTTTGAGAATAATTTATCATTTGCATTTGAAACATTTACACCAACTAATTTCAAATATTGTACTTTCTATCTTGTTTAATCACAATTAAAAATTTATTAATGCTACTTGATCATTCAGGATTACAAGAATTCAGTGCGAAGAAGACATTACAAGAGTATCTTAAAAATAATCTTAAATTAAGTCAGAGCAGGTTGACTTTAATGTCAGCCAATTTATCTGAAGATAATCTAGATTTTCCGTGTTTCCAGTGATGATTGTAGAGAAGCCTCACAACACAGTGGCACAAGAGGGTGAAACAGTGACCCTGGCCTGCACCATCTCAGACCCCAATGTTATAGTGAAATGGGTGAGGAGTGGGACTTCCCTCATAGCAGGTCTGAAGTACGACCTGAAGAAGAATGGAGCTTTTCATCAGCTCTGCATCCATAATCTGAAGCCTGAGGACTCTGGGTCATACACCTGTGACACTGGAGATGACCAGTGTGAAGTCAAGCTCACAGTGGAAGGTAACAACTGACAACTGTGGAGCAAGGCTGAAAACATCTACTCTTATTCAAAGGCTTAATATTTGTCCTGCCATTTCAACATCTGATATTCCTCTTTCAAAATCTCATCAGGTGCGCCGGTCTTCTTCAAAAAGGAGTTGAAGAACCAGGAAGCTATAGAGGGTGATGATATTGTCCTGCGCTGTGAGCTTTCAAAGCCAGGCGCACGTGTGGAGTGGAGAAAGGGTGGTGCTGTTCTCCACTCGGGTAAGAGAGTGAACATAAAGCAGGACGGGTTCATGCAGGAGCTCTGCCTCCTCAACGTGACGCCAGAAGACAGTGGCTTCTACACTTGTGATGCCGGAGACCAGCTTACTACCGCCTCTTTGACTGTGCAAGGTAGCATTTTGATTTTACAGTTCCAGTTGTTAGTTTTGTCTGGTATTCTGGAAGAGTTAGTTCTCCAAGAGGCTCAGTGTGCACACCTGTGTCTGTCTCAAACCGATAGAGAAAGAAGTCTTCATTTTGACTGGTCTTAAGACGACTGATGTCTTTGTGGGGGAGTGGGCTACGTTCTCCTGCCAGCTGTCCGGGAGGGCACCTGGTGCAGTGCAGTGGTGGCTGGACGGCACACTGCTGGAGAACAGTGCATTTAGTGAAATAGGAGTGAGCCAGGGACACATCCACACTCTGACCCTCAAGAACCTGGCCACAGACGACTCAGGCACTGTCATGTTTAAGACGGGCAGTCTGCTCTCCACAGCCAAGCTCTTAGTCAAAGGTACTTTCAGAAGAGCTACTTTAACAAAGGCTGAGATAAACTGTGCTTTACTCACTGGACATGAATATCTAACGTTCAACGCTTTTCAAGCAGTTGCTCCACCTAAATTCTTGCTTTTCAGCAATGCACTTGGCAACATTTTGAAACAATCATTATTTCACCTCCTTGTGGGTTTTGCATGAGTATATCTATTTAATACTAATACTGTATATCAATTGCCACGCGTTGGACTTGATATAGTCATTGTCCATTACAGTGGGTGAAGCATCACACACCATGGTAAAATTGTCCAATCTGCTACACATTCTGTCTGCACTGTCAGCTGGGCTGCCAAAATCACTTCATTATCATAATCACGGTTATGTTTTCACACCATTTTTTCTACACACAAAGGATTAAGGCCTGGTGTGATGAATGTGGCTGCACTGGAGTGATAATGTTGTGACTTGACTCAGGAGGGTTGTGTCTCCATGGAGACGAGGATATAGATTTTGGATATGTCCCTTGGCCCTGGATAGTTGTGGTGGTGACATTTTGATGAGGACTTCTGAAGAGTGTAGTGTAGAGATGAGTGATGTGCAGTGTTAACACTGAGATGGTTGAGGTTGAAGTTGATGCTTTCAACTGATGACAGGTTCATGTCCACCTGTTCAGACACTCCCAAATGAAGTCTGTTTAGTTTAAGTTAGTACGGAAGCACAGTTTCTCTGTATTTGGTCTTCTTGTGGACTTCACTTATATGGAGCCATAAACTCTCCTACAGATATCTGCTCTAATTCCACTGTTGTTATTTGTCTGGATTGATAAAAGAAAAAGGCATGATCGTGATTATGGTCAATGTGCAGCCCTCTAGTCTTTGATTTTAATGTCCTGGCTTTGGTGATGAAATATTGCATAAAAGTTCTGTTTGATCTTGGTAAAAGTGCTGCTCCACCCATCCACTCTCACCTGTTGCTACTTTTGCTTAAACCTCCATTACTCCATCTTCATCCAATATGCAGTCCTTAACATCAACCCTTTACCTGTAACTCCGAGCCTGTGAGTCTGGCTCTTGCACTTGCCACGCCCATATAACATCATCTGCAGTTCTGACAATTATTATTGCTGACAGAAGGGCACATGTAGCATCCCTTTCTGGTCAACTGTTAAGTATTAGCTTTTAGTCAAACTGTAGCATTTTTGTGAAAATACATATTAGTGGAGAGGGTTGGCCGAGCCCCTCTGTCAGCAGGCATGTCCTGTGCATGTGGCTCCTATATCGGCCTCATGACCATGGGCTTGCTCTCAGATCCCACAGTGGAGGTGGTGAGTGCCATGGAGGACCTGCGGGTGTTTGAGAACCAGCCTGCTCAGTTCATCTGCCAATACTCCCGGCCGGTCAAAGCCGAGTGGAGGAAAGACGGGCGGCCGCTGCACCCGGACGGCAGGAGGGTGGTGGTGGAGCAGGACTGGAATGTGGCGCGCTTGTTCATTAGCCACGTGTGCGCTGGAGACAGAGGCACTTACTCGTGCGAGGCACAGGGCACATGTGTGGTGGCTACGCTGCATGTGGAAGGTGAGCGCCCTCCCTCCACATCAGACCCACTGGCTCTAGGGTGTGTTCTCTCTGTTCCTCTTGGGTCTTTTTGGTTTGAACAGCAAGATGGTTTATTTATGAATGTGTGATTATGTTATTTAGCTTAAATTGTAAAGGTTTGCCTTCAGGGTGGTTTAAAGGTGCATTGCGTAACTTTTCTGGTGGAGGGTCCGTCACCTGCTTGTCTCCATGGAGATATCATTGCTTTGTCTAGAATGTTCCACAGTAGAGATTAAACCTATCTATCTCAAGGGAAACAACTATAGGCTACATTACAGGTCAGATCTATGGAGAGTCACCCCTATTCACAGAGAAAATCATTGTCATATTGTGAGCAATAGACACACCTGTAATGAATATGTAAATACTGGATGGCTATGTTTAATGCCATACCATGAAACATTCCAGGCAAAGCAATGACATCTCCATGGAGACAAGCATGTGATGGACCCTCCACCAATCCTGCATATTTATCAGTACATTTTAATTTACATTATCTTGTCTTTTAATATGCATGGTCCCTTTAATAAATAAATATAAATACAAATACAAATACCAGAAAAGTTGAGCAGTGTACCTACCTAAATAAAGTGAGTGCAGCTGCCAAAACTGTAATGATGCCATTTGTCACTAAGAGAAAAATACCCACCAAACAAGTATGCTTTTAGTGAGAGAAAGGTCAATGGATCACATGGATTAAATGTTTCTTTCTATACCAATGTGGGCATCTGGGAGACAATAGATTAAATGTATTAAATTTACAAGTCCTGTCAAAGAATAACTAGCAGGATGTTTAATGTGAACACACCCTAACTCCCCACTGCTTTATTCATTGTTGTTTTCCATGTTTGTCATGTTTGTGTTAAAATACTGTAGTCACATTTATTATAATCATCATTCATCTGCTTTCTCTCCATAGACAAACCCATCACTATAGTTCAGGATTTAGAAAACATGGAAACGTTTGATGGAGGTGAGGCCTTGTTTGAATGTGCCCTGAGTCGCCCTGAGACCAAAGACTGCCAGTGGCTGTTGAACGGGACACCAGTGAAGGAGAGTCCAAACGCAGAGGTGGTGTCATTTGAGAGTGGTCTTCGCCACCTGCTTCTCCTCAAAGAACTGCGTGTGAATGACAGCTGCACCGTCACCTTCAGAGCGGGCACTGCCTCCACCTCTGCTCAGCTCACTGTCAAAGGTTAGCAAACAATATTACTATCACATAACACACTGGATTTTACATATTCTTGTTCAGCATTTTCCTTTTTGCTTTTTTGTGTTGTGAAAAAAAAATGCTATTGTGCTAACTCCTGTGTTATTATGTTGAAGATGCTAGCTGACTCATTGATTTAGTATGCATTATCCTAATTCAAACAAATAAATAAAGAAATAAACTATTAATTACATAAAATAAAATTAGACAATAGTTTGTAGTGTCTTGTAGCTGTATACTACAAGACACTGCGATGCAAGCCATAACCAGCATATAGTAATTATTTAGGCATCTGCAATAGTGACAAAAGTGGCTTGTAAATATTACACAAAAATGTCAAAATATTTCATGGTTTCTCCCAATGAGAAAAATCTGATCATTTTTTAATCCATCAGAAATATGCTAAAATGGGCCTGTAAATGTTGTGGTTGTGGTTTAGGTATCAGACCTTATATCCTTATTTGGAAAATTATATTGCTAATTTCTGGTCTTTTTATTTTCATCATTTAGACAGCATGCTTTCTATATATTTTTATTTTGCTTATCTTCAAATCAACTATTTTGATGTAAGCTTATGTAAGACCCACCTCTATTTCCATTTGCCAACCATTGTCCACAATAGTAAAATATTGGTATGCCATGTTGGTATTTTTTTACGGAAAACTTTTGGCCTGTTCAGCAGCACTGTTATTTCCAGTTGTTAAGATGGTGTATAGTCCAATTCACACTCCCTCTCTCTCTGACTGGCAGGCTGGCAGCTGGATGTTGTGAAGCCCCTAGAGGACAAAGTAGCTGCAGTGGGAGAAAAGGTGGAGTTCTGTGTTGAGCTGAATGAGCCTGTGCCCATGTCTGAGGTGATCTGGTACGCCAACGGAGTGGAGCTGAAGCCCAGTGACCTCTGGGCCATGAGGGCAGAAGGCAGCTGTTATCGTCTGCTCCTGAAAAAGGCTCCTCTTATGCCTCAACAGGAAATCACTTTTGCAGCCAGAGATGCACTGTCTTTGGCAAAGCTCTCCATCATTAGTAAGTACCACACATTCTAATGTGGCAATTTAATATACAAAAAATAATGCTTTAATTGTTTCTCCTACTAGCTGTACCTGATCCACCGGAGGATCCAGAGGTCTTCGTTAAGTCTAACCAGTCTGTGAGCCTGTCATGGTTCACCCCATTGCACGATGGAGGAAGCCCTATTCTGGGCTACAGGGTGGAGATGCGTCTGGTGGACAGTGTGCTCTGGATGCCCTGCCACACAGAGCCTGTATGTAACACAGAGTTTGTGGTGGAGAACCTGATGCCTGGAGCAGCTTACAGGTTTAGAATGGCAGCCATCAACAGAGCCGGGATCGGAGAGCCTGTTGAACTGCCCCAGACTGTGCAACTCGGTGAGCCCTTGACACTTGTACTTACGTATTATTGTTTTGTACCAAAATATTTGTACCAGTATTTTAAATGAAACATCAAAATGTTCTGGGTTAAATAAATGTATGGTATTGGTATAAATTCAATAAAAATCAACTGCTGGGATGTTGCATTGAAATTTCCACAACAAAACAATAAATATTAAAATTTAAAATTGTAATTATAAATTATTAAATGCATATATTTATATTTATTTTTAATTTTTTCAATTTTCTTTTACAGAGGAACCTAAAAAGCCAAGTGTCCCTCAAGGTAATGCTCTAATTCCTGTTGGGAATTTTGCTGTATTGATTTGATGATTGAATAATGTTAAATAATTGTGATGTCTTTGTGTAGATGAAAAACCAAAGGATGTTGTTGAACAAAAGGCTGCTCCTGAGGATCTGGCCAAAAAGACTCTGGACTCCCTCTCATTGCAGACCACGGAGCAGAGTAAAGCTAAAGTGATCACACAAGAGCTGACCGCTGCAGCTAAGACAGTGGAAGTGAAGACCTCTGAGAAGGTCCAGGCGGTCATTTCAACCACTAGCTCCGAGAACGAGGCTTCGCTTGTGTCCTACCTCAAGAGTAGCAGCACCTCTTCAGTCGCAGAGGCGCAAGTCATAACCTCTGAAAAAGCACAGGTCTCCCAGACAATCATCCAGCAAACTGAGGTTAAAACAGCTACAGCAAGCACCACTACAGTCCAGGCTGAAGCAGTGACCACAGAGGAGGTGATGGAAATCAGTAAGGAGGACGAACCAGAGCTCACGGAGGCTGCCATCAAGATCCAAGCTGCTTTCAAAGGATTCAAAGCCCGCAAAGAGATGAAGCCAGTTTTCAAAGAAGTTTTCAAAGATCAAACCAAGGAGCCCAGCGGTACCATCCACCTGGAGTGTGTGGCCGAGGGCAAGCCTGAGAAAGTGCTCTGGCTTAAGGATGGCGAGCCCCTAACTGACGGAAAACACCACCATATCGATATATACAACGATGGTACATGCTCTTTAGTAATTACAGCCATTACTACCAAGGATACTGGTGTGTACACATGTGAGGTCACCAATAAGTTTGGAGTTTCGTCTCACAGCGCCAAGGTAACAGTGGGTACGTCCAGGGAATCATCCGGACGTAGACCCTTAACCGTGGGCTACAGTGCGGATAGTGAGCCTGATAGTTCATCTGGAAGTGAAATGGATGAATCATTGAGGCAAGCTAGCAGGCGGCTACGCAAACTTCTTCGCACTCGCCTGCCCCCTGACGTGGAGGAGGAGCCATTCGTGAGCGCGGATGAAGGAGAGATGAGGATTCCAGACCCTCATTCATACAGAGAGGATGAGAATTACATCTACATTAAGTTTGATGCACGCTCGGATGCAGAGGTGGCGTCCAAGAGGTTCCAGGAGATGTTCACGGTGCATGGGGTCCCGGTGGACACGACCATTATAGAGGCGGGGTCCCAGAAAGTGGAGCTAAGGATCAGAAAGATGGGATACTCACAGGACGGTACAGAGACTCCCACTCCAGACAGACAAGCTCCTGCCTTCATGTCTGGAGCTGCTGGTATGAATTTACTCAACTGTTTCTGTACTCTGTTTATTATAGAGATCTACACATATTTATAAAATCACTGAGATGTTTAAAAATGAAATAACTATATAGCTGCACGTAGGAATTTAAATTTATCTAACTTCCTAGCTCTCACAAACCCTTTAGCACATGGCTAGCATTCTCATGCATGATTTTTTTTGGCCAATTGCAGACTAGCAACTAACTAGCAGCTAGATAAAGAGAGTGTGTAGCGTTCTGATTTTGTACAGCTCAATCTATAGAAATCTGTAGAAAATGTTATCTCAATTATTCTAAATATTCTTCATCGATATTTCACATCAGTAAGCTTGCGAATCTCTTATTTCTTTCTAACAATTTCTCCCCAGCTGCTCCAGTCTTCCTAACCGAGCTGCAGAGCCAAGATGTTCCTGATGGATACCCAGTGAGCTTCGACTGTGTGGTGATCGGAAAACCCGCTCCCGCCGTGAAATGGTACAAAGACGGCAAACTGTTGGAGGAGAATGACCACTACATGATCAATGAGGACCAGGAGGGGTGCCACCAGCTCATCATCACCTCAGTGCTGCCCTCGGACATGGGCGTGTACCGCTGCACCGCTGAGAATAGCAGTGGTATCACGGCAACCAAAGCCGAACTCAGGGTGGATGGTAAGTACAGGTTACACATATGCACACATGGATACTTCACTACTGCAGTTTGATCTGAAAATAGTTCTGTTTCTACAGTGTCTTGCAGCTCAGATTATGACACCGCAGCAGACGCCACAGAGACGTCTTCTTATGTCAGTGCAAAGGACACTTCCCGGTAGGAGGAAAAAAATTTTAACATTTTGACCCAGAATAGAGAAGCTATAAAATTTAATTCAATCATAATATTATCACAACTGTTGCTTTTAAAACATGCAACACATGTACATATACATATGCATATGCATATACATATACATATACATATACATTTGCATATGCATATACATATACATGTACATATTGAGTTAAAAATCTTGATTGAGATTATATTTCTGAAGTTTCATTAGCTGTAACCTTATCATAACATTTAGCATTTTTTACCACATTATTTACCACATGGACAGTAAATCTCGTTCATGTTTTTAAACTTCATGAGAAAAAATAATATAATATAATGTAATATAATATAATATAATATAATATAATATAATACAATATAATATAATATAATACAATATAATATAATATAATATACAATATAATATAATATAATGATGGTATAAAGTGATGCCCTTTTGTAATGACTTGCGTGCACCTTTTGTGTGATACTTGAATCTTAACTATGATATTTTAGCACATTTCACATTTGAGGACTGATCTGTTTACTGCTGCCTAGAGAATAAAAACAAGAATTATTATCCCTCATGCCAAACTCACATAAAACTATAGGGTGCATTGTATGTGTGATTTTTTTAGTAATGTTTTTCCTCAATATGCAAACAGGGAAACAGAAACCTTTGAGTCTGTCACTGAAGATGACCAGCTCCCTCAGGTGGTGGAGGAGCTGCACGACATCCACGTCAGCCCAGGTTCACCTATCGTCAAGATGCAACTCAGAGTAAAGGGTATGAACTTAAACTTATTTAATATACAGTAAGTTATAACTACAAACACTGAAATGTCCTCCTCTCTAATCATATCTGCTTTAGGATTCCCCAAACCCAGAGTGTACTGGTTCAAAGATGGCCAGCCTCTGCGTTCTTCGAAGAGAGTGGCTCTACTGGCTGAGAGAGATGTTCATGGTGTGGAGATTGTAGAGGTGGCTAAAGAAGACATGGGCGAGTACTCTGCCTTCATCAGCAATGCAGCCGGATCTGCCTACTCCTCTGCTCGTCTTCTAGTGCTGAGTATGGAAACAAGAATTAATCCCAGACTACTTTTTACTATTTTTTTTTATTTTTTATTTTAATGTCTGATATTTTTAATTAGATCCTGGAGAGATGCTTCCTCAAGATAAGAAGGACCCCAAAGTACCACTGGTGCCTCCACGATTTATCGAGAGGTTCCCCAACAGAAAGGTCAAGCAAGGAGCCAGCATTACCCTGTCTGTCAAAGTGGAAGGTTTGTTGTGCTTGTACATTAAAGGTTTATTGCATCCATTTTTTTCTGGTAGCGGTTACGCCACCTGCTTTTATCCATAGAGATGTTGTGGATTTATTCATAGTATTACATTAGACATATCTATCTCCATGGAGACAAGCCGGTAATGCCAGCAGGCCATGTTACAGGTCAGATCTGGGGAGAGATGACCCTGCCCCTTCACAATCAGAATGCATGTTTTTCAAGGTATCTTTGAACAATAAAAACACAGCAGAATCAATTCTAAATAGATATGTTAAATGCCATATTGTGGAGCTTTCTGAGCAAAGCATTAGAATTTGGGATGGAATGTCAAATAAATTACTGTTACTGTGGAAATTCTCTATCTATCTGGTAGTAATACAAAATGCTCATAGAGATACTTAGCCCAAACAACATTAAAAATTAAACAAAAGCATGGTGGAGCAACTGCTGGATCACTTCTGGTAAATCTATTATTGTTTTATTGGTGGTTTTTAGATTCTAGAATATGATGATGTTAATCTCCCAGATGGGGGGCAAGAGACAGTTTTCCATTTTAATAATAACATTGTACTGCCATAAAATAAAGGTAACTGAAGGTAAATTTGCAAATGTTGAACCTAATGATTTCTGTTTGTTACTAGACCTATTAACTTCTTTTATTACAACAAAAATCTGCATTTTAACAATATCCATTTTAGGTGACCCCATCTGTCTTAAATATGACTGGCCTATAGTATATTGTGATGCCATCTGAACCCTGTAATAGTGTCAGAATACTTTTGAATGAATGCTAACTTAAGCATTTATCATTTTATAATCTCCACTGGTATAACATTAGGCTAAGTCAATCTTCTGATTGTATAATGTCACAATCTTGAGCTCTATAAAACCACAAGCAGGTGGCGGATACTCTGCCAAACAAGTTACATAGTGCACTTTTAAACCCAAATATGCATAATTCCGCAATAATTACATTTGATTTGAATGGTTGTAGGCTCTCCCACTCCTACTGTAAACTGGCTCAAAGAGGAGTCCGTTGAGGATGTGTTGTGGATCAAACCTGAGACCAAAGGGTTTAAAATTGCCAGCTCCGGGCGTCAGCACAGTCTCATCTTAATGGACGTGGGCACAGAATACACCGGGGCCTACACCTGTATCGCCACAAATAAAGCAGGACAGTCCATCTGCACTGCTCACCTCGAGGTGGATGACAGTAAGTTTAAAGGTCCACTAGTACACAAAAATGGACTCTTTTTGAGCTTTTAGTCATGTTATAATGTTGGTGCTGCATCAGAAACATACCCTGAGTTGTCTTTTGTTTCATTCACACATGTTTGAGTAATCCCTTATTATTAGTCTGTCATATCTCCAAAGCTCAAAATGCTCTGTTCCACCCTGTGATGTCATGAAGTGGTAGGTTTCAAGTTAACAGCTAGCTTTTACCTTTAGTTCAGTAGAGATTGACAGTTCCATGGTTGAAATTATGCAAATGGAGTTTAAAAACACAGTAGAGCACATCTTGTGTGAGTGTTTCCTGTTTGAAACAAGAACTTAGCCTAAATGTGTAGGATATGTGTGTTTAACATGTGTGAAACAAAACACAACTCCAGGTATGTTTATGACAAGGAAACAATTATAACAATTATAATACTGTGTAGATCAGAAAATAGCATAATATGCATCCTTTAATGACATTTACTTTTTTTTCCCTCTGATACATTTATAAATTTGTTAATATCCTTTTTAGCACCACAGCCAAAGAAAGAAGCCAAACCAACAGAGTAAGTGTCTCTTATTCTACACAGTATGAAATCATTCAAGTCACTGTGGATATTCCATTAAATTATTTTGATAAATTTGATTCTTAGGGTCCTTGGAATTACAGTTAGTCCCCCAGAGGAGGAAGCGGTCAGACCAAAAGGTATAAAATAATTACTCTCGATATTCTAAACAAAAACATGATATATTGTATATTTTCTCACTTCCTTGTGTCATCAGAGGCAAGAATACCGTTCTTGGGTGAAGTCGGCACTGAGGAGTTCCTCATGAAACTGACCTCTCAGATCACTGAAATGGTGTCTGCCAAAATTTCACAAGGTACAAACACACTCTCTGCTCTTCTCTGTCTCTCACCCCCTAACAAGTCCAATCCACTTTTTTTTCTGAATAACGTGTAACTATATTTAAATGTTGTTTTATGAAAGTTTTGTGTATAATAAATGTTAACTCTTGTGTTACTCTAACTTTCATGTTCAGCTCATGTTACAGAAATGGATTCTGTCATTTCTGGTTTATATATTTAGATTGTATCTTGTCAATATGCTTGAATAGCTTTGCTTCTGGCACTGCTACATGCAATAATAATGCATCATAGGGATTCACTGTCATTCAAAACAATAAACAAACAGATGTGTAACATCTTTTGTTTTTGAATGAGAATTTACAATCCTGTTGATAAGATTTAGTATGGCTGCTTGACAAATGCTTCTGCATTTATGTGGTCCTTGGATATTTGGCAGGTATAAAAATGTGAGTTGTAATGGTAATAGTTTACAGTGCTGAATTACACATTACCTTAATTAGTTTGACATAAACCCTCTTTCTATTAAAACATAAAACAAGTCTAAGGACCGAAGAAATGCAGCTAACAGTAAAGCTTCTAAGACCACATGAGTCCTGTGCTTCATGAATACATCATTCACCAATCATCCATTAGTTACAAATCAGTGCCCACTCATTGAATCAATGTGTTATTCAGACAGCTCACAGAATCAGGAAGTGCTCCAGTGGATGAAATCTTGGCCCAAAAACACCAGTATGTATCCCAGTGCACTGGCCTCACTATGTGCTTTTCACTGCAGCTACTAAATACCTGGGCTGTTAACTGAGATACATTAATATTTCCTTTCATGTAAAGGATATATTTGCTGGACAAAGCTAGAACATGTCCCACAATCATGCACACATTTTTACCTGTGCATGTTTTGCATGTTAATGTCCTCTTTATATTTTTACATAGGTTTGGACTGCAATCTAAAGGACATTGTGTGCAGAAAGGCATGTGTGTTTTTACTACTCTCTTACTCAGTCCACTGTACTACTAACACTGCATTGGCTAAAAACATAAAGCTAAAATGCTACTGTAGTATTTTTATTAATCTGCCTATAAAGCTGCTTCTGGCTCATAGCAAAGTAATACAGTGATATGGCAAAGACTACATTTGATTTGCTTTGCAAACAAACAAAGTCTTAAATAGTGTAATGTCAGTCCCATTTAAACTGTCCCTGTAACGTGCAGCCTCTTTGCGGGTCCCTGGTGCCGATAGTGATGATGAAACCAAAACCCCCTCAGCCACGCCCCATCATGGTCGCTCCAGACCCGCTTCCCTCATCGCTGACTCCTCCTCTGAGTCTGACGAGGGAGATGCCCGCGGAGAGGTGAGCTGAAACGTAACCTGTTCATTAAAAGCATGTTACACAAAATTGTCTCTTGTGAGTTTTTAGCCATGTTAGAATGTTTTTATCTCCTCACAAACATACCCGGAGTTGTGCTTTGTTTCATTCACACATGTTTGAGTAATCCTGCATTGTCTATATCTCCAAAGTTTAAAATGCCCTGTTCCACCTTATGATGTCATGAAGCGGCAGTTTTCAAGTTAAAAGCTACCTACCTGATTTTTGTGAAGGTGTATGGAGTTTAAAAACACAGTGGAACACTTCCTGTATTACCACATGACATCACAAGGTCAAACAGAGTGTTTTCAGCTATATTATGCAGGGTTTGAGTGTTAAACATGTGTGAGTGAAACAAAACACCACTCCGTTTTGGATGAGGAAACAACATTATAACATAGATCTGAAAATAGTTATGGACCCTTTAAAAGCAACAGAGCAGTTATCCTGTATTGTATCATGTAATCTCTTTTTCTAGATGTTTGATATCTACGTGGCGACAGCAGACTACAACCCGACCATCGCGAGTAAAGAGTCCATCTCGCTGAAGGAGGGCCAGTACGTGGAGGTGCTGGACTCTGCTCATCCTCTAAAATGGCTGGTCAGGACCAAACCCACCAAAACAACACCGTCCAGACAAGGCTGGGTCTCTCCTGCCTACCTCGACAGGAAGCTCAAAGTGAGTCACTGATGAGATAAAACAGACTACTTCTATCATCACACAATCTGGAAATTTCAGTTCAGAGAGTTCACTAAAATATGAATTATAAACTGAACTTGTGGTAAAAAACTTTATAGTTAGTTGTAGGAATAAAGTTTTTAGACAAGGTATTAAAGGCACTATCTTGAAAATGTTTCAAGATTGTCTTTTGCTGTCATGTGACTGCGAGCATGCTAACAGTGCACTTCCTGCACTTTATAATGCTTTATAATTAGATGAGACAGCACACAGCAGTCTCGTTCTGATGCTAAGAGCTGCTTTTAAAATATAATTGTTCTGAAGCAAAATAGATTTTACTATATTGCATAACAAAAAAACTGGGTAGGAGTTTGTAAACCTAAACTATTAAATAATTTGTTTAAAGCTCTCTGCTGATTCTGGTGATCTTCCCGAGGCCCATGTAGAGGAGGTGTCTGAGGGCGAATATAAGAGGAAGCTATTGTAAGTCATATTTACTTTATAAGGAATTTTCATGGTGATAAATAACCAAAAACACAACTGATTCATATATTTTCTGTTTTCAGCCAACTGATCCAGGACTTGATAAACTCAGAATCCCAGTTTATCAAAGAGGTAGACTTCTTCACCTCTCACCACCTGAAACATGCAGAAAGCCCTGATGCCCCGCCAGATGTCACTGACAACAAGGACACCATATTCAGGAACATCCAGGACATTAAAGTCTTCCACAACAGGTAACCTCTCTCAGCGTGCCATTATATTTGATTATAAATCAGAACTGTTGGAATGAACCTGTTGCTTTGTGATTTTTCCAGAGCATTCCTCCCCAAGTTGAACGAGTGTGAGACTGATGATGATGTGGCCATGTGCTTCCTGAAGAATAAGGAGGGCTTTGAGAAGTATCTGCAGTACCTGGTGGGCCAGAGCCGAGCCGAGGCCACTGTCAGTGATAAAACTATTCACCGTTTCTTTAAGGTACTTCTGGAGATTACTAAGGTTTTTGATCATATTTGAAGGTGCATTATGTCAGTTTTTGGTTGGGGGGTTGGTCACCTGCTTGTTGCCACCTGCAATTAGTCCAAAGTCTTGATTATAATGACGAAAATGCACAACTGAAATTGAAAAACACCAATCTTCAAAATAAAATCTCATGTCTGGAAAATCAAATGATAATCCAAAATGAGAAAAATGAAAATCTTAAAGGAAATGGCTTTTGAAAATTTTGAAACGGTCAAAAAACTTCTGGAAGCCTACAAAGAAGCCTTTATTATAGGCATATGAGGGAAAAAAAGTGTCCTTGGGCAAGACACTTGCCCCTTTCAGTTACTACCTAAGTGGTTGAAAGTGGCGTTGATACAGATGTGGCAAGTTATGCTGCCTCTCCAACCACCATCAATCACTGACTTTATTCACATGCACACTGATTATTATCTGATTTCTGAACCTCTAGGATCATTTAAATGACATGTAAAATTATAGCCTAGTCTCATAAAGGACATTTAGAAACTGACACAAAACTTAAGTGGTGCTGATTCAGATGTGGCAAATTTGACTGAGTCTCCAACCATCACCTATCACTTTGCTCACATTCACACTAATTATTATCTGATTCTAAGATAATTTAAATGGCATGTAAAACTCAAAATCTGATATGGATAGTCAGAGAGACCATGATCAGAAAAAACTCCAATGATTTTTAAGGAATTCAGGAAATGGCAACATCATCTATGTGGGCCTCAAGCAGGTTATATTAAAAATATCCACTGTGAATGTGTTTCTTGTCTCTGAAATGCAAAAAAATAACCCCTAAAAACTAAATGATATGGTTTAATTTTTGTATATTTATTTTATCTCTGTTTTAGGAGTATACTGAGAGTGAACAAGCCAATGCCGACCCCAATGGCCCTCCTGTACGAAGCATCAACGCCCATCTCCAACAGCCGCTGGAGAGGATTCAGAAATACAAGGCAGTTCTCAAGGTCATGGCTACAATCAGCAACTAACAATATTATTTTCACTTTTTTTACTTCAATTTCAAAAGTAAAATAAATGTATTTTTCTGCTGTTTTCAGGAGCTGATTCGAAACAAGGCGAAGAACGGTCAGAACTGCTGTCTGCTGGAGGAGGCCTATGCCATGGTGTCTGCCCTGCCCCAGCGCTCAGACAACACTCACCACGTGTCTCTGATTGAGAACTACCCTGCCACGCTGGAAGTGCTGGGAGAGCCAATCAGACAGGTGTTAATACTTAAAGGGAGAGTATGTAACTTTCTGGAGGCAGCATGTCTGTATGGAAATAGAAAGTTCAAATGTTACTTCGGAATATTCTCCATGGAGATAAAACATACAATACCATATTAATTATGGCCAAAGGCCATGGAAACAAACAGGGGTAGGGCTTCCTCCAGAGCAAATCAGAGTCATTTTTTCAGTGCAAACATTTTTTTTTACTTTTTACTTCTCTTTTCTTTTAGTCTGTCATACACACATACTAATTGTTAATTGGTATGCTATTATACTGATTTTAGTTAGTATTTATAAAACACTTATGGTTATTTTACTATGACTGTTTTGTTCAATAGGGTCCATTCCAAGTGTGGGAGGGAGCGCCCGGTATCAGGTCATCCTCTAGGGGTCATCATCGTCACGTTTTCCTCTTCAAGAACTACTGTGTGATCTGCAAACCCAAGAGAGAGAGCAACACAGACACACAGACTTATGTGTTCAAAAACATGATGAAGGTAAGAGATTTATTAAGTAAATATTATGCTCTTTTAGAGTGTTTAGTGTTATCTATAACTTACACATTTTGTTTATTGTGGAATTTCACTGTAGCAAGATTTTTCATTGAATGTTTTTTTGTTTTTAATTGAAAAATTGCAATGTGACATTTTTGAAACCTACACCTATGACCCCTGACTCTTTCAGTTTTATAATAAGTTATAAGCCACAGGGCAGTGGGCAGAGAATGGGGGGTAGGTGAAAACTGACATTTTCTGAATGTTTAAGTTTCAAATGCAGGACATGAATCAAGAATCAATCAAAATACAACATGGGGTCATATAAATTGTGAGAGAAAACCAGTACAAACCAGTTAAAAGCTCATAATAAAAGTCAATTGTCCTCTTTAATTTCACCCCTTCATGTGTTCAGCAGGATCACTTGTGTGTTTATGTGTTTATAGCTGAACAACATGGACGTAAATGAGACAGTGGAGGGAGACGAGAGGGCGTTTGAGATCTGGCACGAGCGTGAGGACTCAATGAGGAAGTACACTCTGCAGGCGCGCACCGTCAACATCAAAAACTCATGGCTCCGAGACCTCCGCGAGCTTCAGCAGAGATACAGCCTGCCCGCGTGGAGTCAGTGCAGCCCCACATATGTCACATAAAACTACAGGCTAATGTGGTTTCACTGTGTTTAATGTATTTGTTTGTGTGTAGGCCCTCCTGACTTTGATGAGATCCTTGCCAACTGTACAGCAGAGCTGGGACAAACAGTGAAACTTGCATGCAAAGTGACCGGGGCGCCCAAACCTGTGGTCACCTGGTACAAAGGTACTGTTTTATTTTATTGTTTATGATGAAAATGATACAAGATCTTTTTTTGTTTTGTTTTCGGGGGGTTGACTTCAGTTTGACCAGTATACTTAGTAAAATAAAGCAAAGCAATCATCTCCTTACATAAAAATTTGGAATGGCTGCTAAATTATGCAACAAATACATGTTGTTATTATTTTTAGAAATGGAAAAGTTAATTACTAAACTTTACCACAGCAATTTGTGGGCCTCACTCAAGATTTGGATTATTATTGGTCATAATCTGAATTTTAAAATGCCTGCTGCTGTAATCTTGTGGTGCAGATGGGCGTGCAGTGGAGGCAGACCCTCACCACATCATCATCGAGGACCCAGACGGCTCGTGCACGCTCATCCTGGACAATATGAGCGCAGACGACTCAGGGCAGTACATGTGCTTCGCCTCCAGCCCGGCGGGCAATGCCAGCACACTGGGCAAGATCACTGTGCAGGGTACGCCCCAAAACCACTCACACGTATACACATACACACATACACACACACACAACCTGTGCTCCTGAGATTATTGTCATGTTTGTCTTTGTAGTTCCTCCTCGCTTCGTGAACAAAATGAGGAATGCTGTGTTCTATGCCGGGGAGGATGCTCAGTTCACATGTGTCATACAGAGTGCTCCTTCTCCTAAGATCAGGTAAGCTCAAGTAGTGTGATGTCAAAGGTAGGTAGTACTTTGGTAACTTGAATATATGTAAATTATTTTGACATTTGTGTCTTGCTCCATATCTTCAAATTTTTCTGACCATATGGACTATTAATTATTAATAATACCAATATGCATTATTCATTCATTCCACAGTTAGTGGTGTTAAGATACTATTGTAGCCACAGCTGCCCTGTTGTACACCAGCGGAAGTGAGGTACCATTCGCCCCTCCGACTACCACCAACACTCTTGCTTAAGGGCACAATAACATTTTTTTTGCCACTGGTGCCCCAGTGTGTCATCTGGTATTCTCAGTCGTTTCCTATCTAAGTACTAACCAGGCCCAGCCCTGCTTTACTTCTGAGATCTGACGAGATCAGGCTTGTCAAGGAGGTTTGGATTCTTGTTGCTTATGCTGTCACTCCTGTGTGATGTAGATGGTTCAGAGAGGGCAGGCTGCTCACTGACCAGGAGAAGTACCAGACGTACAGTGAGATGAGGAGTGGAGTGGTGGTTCTGGTCATTAAAAATCCAACAGAGAGAGACCTTGGACACTACGAGTGTGAGGTAAGACTCAAATACATCTCCACACTATGTAACTTTTCTGGTTATTATGTCACTATGAAAATATTGTTTTGCCTAGAATGTTTTGCAGTAGGGCTTTAAAGTGATCTATTTGTATCTATTTTCTAGCATGTATCAGTAGTACAAGTAGTACTAGTGTTTTTATACCTGAAATACACAAACCTTTGTATACATATACAGACCTGAGAGGCTGATACTACCTGCTTGCTGCCATGAGAGATAGAGAAGTTTAATACCATACTGTGGAACATTCTAGGCAAAGCAATAACATTTCCATGGAGACGAGCAAGTGCTGGTCCCTTCACCACACAGATATGTAATTGTTTTGTGATTGCAAAGTGATTTTTATTCATAATTTTCTTTGTGTTTCTAGTTGTCTAATCGTCTCGGCTCTGCAAAGTGTGCTGCTGATTTAGTTCTCCCTACAGTTGTGACTCGCTCTGGAGATCAAGCCATCGCTATTGAAGGTAAAAAAAATAAATAAAAATCAGTGTTATATTTTACACTGATTTTTGGTTAGGCCTCTAAGTTCTCTTTGTGTCTCTGCTTTCTATTGTAGTCACGGAACAGGAGACTAAAATACCCAGGAAAACCATCATCATGTAAGTAGAGCAGTAGGAAAATGTGTGTGTATATTGTGGCATATGCATGAGATTTGAGGGAACAGTGTGAATGAGTTTACCACAGTCTGGTGAGATGAGCTGTTGGCGCCTGGGTGCTGTGGCCCTAGTGTCACTGTCAAATTAAAAAGCTATATTTCTTAGTGTACACAGGTCCACAAAGGTTTGTGAAATTAAGACTTAAATAATAATAAAATAATAATTCTTAAAGGTGTACTCTGTAATATTGCTAATGAATGGTATGTCACCTGTCTGTCTCTATGGAGATATTATTGCTTTACCTGATCTGTCTTACACTTATGGAGTTACAAGTTACAAGACATTTTTTTCTTATTATAAGCAGCCTTGCCACGCTGACAGATCTGACCTGTAACTTGACATGGTTGTCTCCATGAAGATAGATGCATTTAATGCCATGCTGTAGAATTTTCCAGACAAACATAGTTTTTTCAATATTCAGTGTTACTTTACTTTTAACTTTTAAGTAACTACGTATATGCTTGTTCTCTCTTGCTCACAGTGAGGAGACCATCACCACAGTGGTGAAGAACCCCCGCATGAGGAGGCACCGGTCTCCAGGAGCAGCCCTCGTTGCTGGGCACCGTTCTGAGACCTCCACCCCTGAACCTGCTGCTGGAGCTCGGGCCAGGAGGGTCCTTACCCCGAGGAAGACCACCATCCCCACAGTGTACGTAACGCAGAGCGAGGAGAGCCGACCACGCTGGGTGGAGGTGGAGGAGGTCATAGAGTACAAGGTGAACAAGTCTCCTCGCCTGTCCCGGAGAAGAGGTCTCTCCCCGGCCGGCTCTGAACGTGCTGGGACCCCCTCAAGACCCAAGAGAGGTATGCCCGAAAACCCCAATGTCAACAACTCCAACAACAAGCTGGTGGAGCAGGCCCAGGCTCAGGCTCTGTCCTGGGAGCAGGAGCAGGGCAGTGTCCCGCCACAGCCAGTGCCCACTGAACCTCTGGAGCTGTCCACCGTCCTGAACGCACCCAACGAAGACAGCGATGACCAGGAGGACAAAGAGACCGTTATTCTAGTGGAGGACGAGGACTCTCCAAAACAAGCCCCAAAAGAGAAGGTTTTGACTTTGGAGGACTTAGAAGATTATGTTCCTGGAGAAGGTGAGACGTATGGGACATCAGGCTCTGGCAGCACCCCTGTGGAGAAGCCCTGCGAGATCTCCGTGTTACAGAGGGAGATCGGGGGCTCGTCTGTGGGTCAACCTGTGCTCCTGAATGTAGGTCGTCCAGTCACAGCCCAGAGGCAGCGCAGCGGCCTCTTCAACCGCTTCAGAGATCACCTGTCCGGCAGCTTCTTCTCCTCTTCCTCCTCCTCCACTTCCTCCTCTCACCCTCACACCAGCACGGAGAGGCACATCCCCATTCAGGTGACGCAGGCCAAGCTGGAGGTGAAGCCATCATACTGCTCCGAGGTGCAGAGAGTGGAGGGCGGCCAGCACAGTTTTAAAACCAAGCTGTCCACTCAGACCTACAGCTACAGTTCAGTGGGAAAGCCAGTCACTCAGATCAGTGAAAAGCGCTACCAGAAAAAGTAAATCCTCAAATATAAGGCAAGCTGCACCCGTTTGCCAGTCTTACTAATGTGGACATTTGTGTGGCAATGTACACCAAGCCCAAAGCTAGCACATCATTCCATTTTGAGGCTACCTGGAGTGGTTAGCATCAGATGGTTAACTTATGAAACAGAGAATAAGTGATTGTGTGGTGAAGTCGATATTTCAAAATGTTGTTTTGGGAGCAATGTCCGGAATTATACATGTTCTGATTTGATTTGTCAGATTCAGATGAGTTTTACTTTGAAACCTTTAGACCTCCAATCCAAAAGTGTCAGTGCTTTTGTTTATAATAAATCAAAAGATATTTTTGGTTTATACTTTTTTTTCTAAATAGTTTCTTACTTGGCTGTCTCTTTGATACTTGGAAGTGGTTAGGAGAAAAGTTTTTAAGAAGCCTTCCATCATTTCAGTGCAACTCATATGGGAGTATGAGTTGTGTTATGTCTTTCACAGTCATCGTTTGTGTCCTTGGCGTTTGCACTGCAGTTCTGTTTAACGCTCGAGACACTGTCAACATGAGTCTTCACACATTGGCCTGACTATGGCTGATTCTGTTCATTCATTTCATCAAAGAATAATTTTCCAGCCTGACAGTGACATCAGACTGGCTCAAATGTTAGAGTAGTGGTCAAGTCGAGTCAGTCGAGTCTTGACCATTTTGTTTGGGGTTGTTTCATTATGTTATGGCTTGTTCTTGTGTAGATAATTAAAGTATGTTTTACCATAACATAACTATGGATTATTCATGAAAAGATGTATTGTGTGGCTGTGTGTTGAAGTAAGCAGTCTGATAAACTACCTTTACAAAGCTACTGAGATCCTGATTTGAAGTTAAGTCTTTTCAAATAAAAGCACTGAGAAAGTAATAGCTAACCATGTACATGTGTTATTTAATGTTAAAATGCTTGTATATCCTATGCTCCATTACAATAAAATGTAATAAAACAATTCAATGTTTGACATGATTTTTACTACAGAAGAAAACACGTCACAGATACCAGGATGTTACATTTATTTGAACTGATGACTTAGTTTATGATCAAGATGAGACAAATACACTTTACAAATGCATCTCGGACCTGCAGTTCTTTCAGAATATCTTTTCCCACATTAAACACCATCAGAACCACACAGCTCTGTGCAAAGGAATGAGTGTTTCAGAAAATGTCTCAAAATTAATAAGTTAAAAAAAAAGTTCAGACACACAATTTAAATCGGTTATAAATATTTTCAAGTAAAAGATAAGATATTCTGTTGAATTGTAACTGTAAAAAACATAATCCAGTTATTTTGTACAGATGTAAATGATAGTGACAATATAAAAGTTAACAAAAAGTACAAATTTAATTGGCAGCCTGCGCTTAAGCCACATCTCAACAATGGATTAGATCCTACACACAGACACACCACACAGCAGCAGTAGCACTAATGCTATTTTACATGTATGGACACAGAGGGCCTGAGCCAGCACTGGGACAGTAGAGCTTCTGCATGTGCTTCTCCGGTTCAACAGCTCTGAATGAAAATCTGGAAAACCTGCCTCAGGAGCTGCCACTCTCGTAAACTTAAAACTTTTGTGGGATTCTTTAAAGGTCCTATATTATGCAAAAATTAACTCGAGTGAGGTTTTAGCCATGTTAGAATGTTACCTCATTAAAAATCTTCCTGGAGTTTTGTTTCACTCAATCCTGGTTTATTAGTCTGTCTACATCTCCAAATCTCAAAATGCACTGTTCCACCTTGTGATGTCATGAACGTGGAACAGAGTGTTTTCTGTTTGAGAGAAGAACTCAGCCTAAATCTGCAGGGTTTGTGTGTTAAACATGTATGAAAGAAACAAAACACAACTCCAGGTCTGAATACAACAGAAAATCACATAATACGGGGCCTTTAAAAAAAAAAAAAAAAAAAGTCCAGTGCCAAAAAAATGTATATCTGAAATTCTAATGGTAATGATGTACTATATGAAAAGTTAAACCATATTGAAAGAATTTAAAGGTACACTATGCAACTTTTCTGGTGGAGGGTAAGCCATCTGTAAATCTCATGTTATTACTTTGCCTTTAATGTTCCACAGTGTAGCATTAAACTTGTCTATTTGGCATTTATTTAATCGCAAGTGTTTTATTGCTCAAAAATACATCGGAAAAACCTGCATTATTATTTGACCTAGTGCTTGTCTCTATGGGGATAGATATGTTTAATGTTATTCTGTGGAACAATCCAAGCAATGACTACAATAGGTGACACACTCTCCTCCAGAAAAGTTACATAATGTGCTTTAAGTAAAAGCAGAGTGGAAAAGCGTTGAGACCAGCTTTACTAGTCCCAAAACAATTCATGTGGCATTTTGTGCTAATTATTCTTGTATAAATAAAACAAGAGCGCTAAAACGTAAACATCTGTGGAGTAACATTTTCATATCTTCATAAAAAGCAGCACTGGACACATTTTTTATCAGATTTTTGGTGAGAAGTTATTTAAAAGAGCATGTAAAAGTTTCCTCTGGAGGGATGGGGAATGTTCGAGCAGAGAGGAGGAGTGTACGGGGCCCTCTCCTACGACGACTCTGGAATCTTCTTCACCTTGTTGATTTCCTGAAAACATAAAACAAAGTATAATTAATAATATTGTCAGTGATTTGTATTTAATTATCTCTACTGTACTACATAGTTTCAATAATATTAATTAAGGTCCCTGTATTCGATTTTTTGGCAATATTTGACTTGCCTCAGTACATATGTGTTGTTTAAGCAGCTCTGGAGGTTAAAGTAAGTCTGCTGTGTGCTGTCTACATCTAATTAGAAAGCAATCCAATAAGGTGCACAATTAGCATGCTAGTTGTTGTTAGTTTTACTGTTACAACAAAACTCTACTGTGGTCTAAGCTCATTGCGGTGAATGAAAACAATGCTCTGAATTCATAAGGTGAGTGAGGAATAACTTTGGACCACTGTAAACTGTTAAAAACTTACAAAACAGAAATGGTTTTAAAGTAGAGTACACAAAATATCAGGTACAGCGCCTTTAAGTTCCTACATAGAGCTATTTCTAACATTACCTCCAGAAGAGCCTCCTTTAACTTTACATAGGCCTCATCCAAATGATCATTGATTATAACAACATCAAACATGCCGGGTTCTTTACCTGGAGCAACACAAGACGGTTTGGTCAGTAATAACGTCTTTCACATTATTGAGAATTTACCCATTCAAGGCAGACTTACTTAATTCCATGTCCACTTGAGCTGCATGTAGACGCTTCTGCAGACTCTCCTCTGACTCGGTTTTTCTGTCTCTTAAGCGCTTTTCCTGTAACACAATGGAAATAATGTCACTTCAACAGAAATTATAGACTGGTGTATCATTGGAGACACTCGGACTGCCGTTTGCTGTCAAAAATCATCCACAGCAGGAGTCTCCAACCTGTAGCTCAGGAACTACCCATAGCTTTCCACCCCCTTTAGAGCAGGGATTTCTAAATTACATGTATTGTGATGAATAAGTAAAATTTGTTCCCTAATAAGTGGATAATGGTTTATGTTTTATAGGCATCTAACTGTTCTGTGTCTGCGTCTTATGTTTACTTCTACTTCTTTGCAGCTGCTAAAATAAGTAGCTCTCTGGTATTTTTGTTTTATAAAAGTAGCTCACTAGAGGAAAAACTTTGGAGACCCCTGATCTACAGCAAGTAGTATCAGATATGTCACATTTTATTTTGGATCTATAGAAGCTCAGTAATGCATAAATTGGATGCTTTAGCTGTTACTGTTAGCTGAGGCAGAGTATACTTTTTGTGACATTAAAAGCTTTATTTTTTCACAACCAAACTTAAAGATAAAATTCTTAGTACAGGTTCTAGCTATATTTAATTACTTAATAACTGTGATAATAATTTAATAACTGTGATAGTATTGGTTTGACTGTATTCATGGGTTTCAGCTTCCAGATATGCAGCATTTGAGGACATCTTCACATTCACCAGATATTATTTTCAATTTTAATATTCGCTAGACCAACAATATTAATGTAAAGTCATTGTGTGCCTGGGCATGATACTTCAAAACACTCTACAATATACACATGCACTTAGCTTTGGTTTTATGGGTTGTCAACACAGCGTTATTGAACATCCTGCATCTTCATAAATCGAAGTAAAACATGCTGACGTGGTGATAGAGCTACTTTCAGTAACACTTTATCATAACTATACTTTAATAATTAGCCTTAATAAAGCACAAACAAAGACATATCATAACAACAAACCTCAAATTTATTAAGAATAATTCAGGCTCAGTAACTGCTTAAGTAATACCCTACCATATCCTTAATTCATTCTTAATAAATCATTTGTTTATAAGGAAGTAAGTGTCCATGCTTTATTTAAATTTTACACAATTTTCTGATGTTATAACGTTTCCTCATCACAAACATACGTGGAGTTGTGTTTTGTTTCATCCACACATGTTTAACACATAAATCCTGCATATTTAAGCTGAGATCTTCTCTCAAACTGAAAACACCTTGTGATGTCATGTGGTAATACAGGAAGTGCACTACTGTGTTTTTAAACTCCATGCACCTCCACTAGAATCATTTGGATAAATTTCAGAATTCCCGAACAAAAGAAAAAGTAGCTGTTAACCTGAAAACTAACACTTCATGACATCATAAGGTGGAATTGAGTGTTCTGAGCCTTGGAGACAGACTAATAATGCAGCGTGTGGATAAAAAATAAACCCAACTCAGTTTTTTGGATGAGCTAACATGAAGCTCAAAGGAGTCAGTTTTGCGTCATACAGGATTTTTAAGGACCTTTTATAGGCCCTTTACTATTTTATGTTTGTTTTATTGTTTTATTATGTGGCATTTCTCGTTGTAAAACACTTGTTAAGGTCGTTTTAAATGTGTTATATAATTAAAATGACTCGTCTTGACCTTAAGGTGTAGTTAAAGTGGTACTGTAGTTTCCATTAGTAAACCTATTTAACACAGTAGTAGTGTTTCATACCAGCACTTTCATGGAGGGGGGCTGGATGGAGATGTAGATGGGGTTGAGGTCAGTGCGTTTGATGTTGCGGACCCCCTGCATTTCAATGTCCAGAATACAGATGAGGTTCTTGTTCTGGACGTCCTGCACCGCGGCTTTACTCGTGCCGTACATGTTTCCGGAAAACTCTGCATTCTCGATGAATTCACCCCTGTCAATCCCAGCCTGCATCGCTTCCCGAGTGACGTAGTGGTAGTCTGGAGAAGTAGAGAATAAACTTTTTTTTTAGAATGTTAAAGGTGCACTGTGTAATTTTTTGATTGGGGGACCGTCACCTGCATGTCTCTATGGATATGTTATTGTTCTGCCTGGAATGTTCCACAGTGTGACATTAAACAGCTCTACCTTACTTTTTTTTTTAAATTACCGTATTTTCCGCACTATTAGGCGCTCTGGATTATAAGGCGCACTGTCATCAAATGGTCTATTTTCGAACTTTTTTCGCACAAATAAACCAAACCGGACTTTAAACGACACACAACAGTTGGATGGGTCAGTGGGACTTTGTTTGGTGCGTTCACGGTGACTCTGGGCTTTGTTCAGTTGTGGTGTGTAGGGAGGGTGCTGTCTGGGACCAACGGATTGTTGACGTGTTCGCAGTGACTCAGTTGTTCAGTTGTGGCTAGAAGTGGCACATTGCACTCGCTTTTTCGGTTCGTTCCTCCGTTCCGTTCCTCGTCCGTGCGGAGTAATGAATGCGACTGCGGGTGTTTTTCGCTGCGCAGTCGCTGTCTGCTCCGTGTGTGTTTGCATGCGGCTTTGTAGTTTACTGAAGTCGTGCTGGGACGCCCGAGTGGATTCGTGTATAGGGAGCTCTGGATTGCGGGGTGTGCAGTCGTTTTTTGATGGGGTTAGAGGCTTAAGAGCGCACCTTATAGCCCGGAAAATATGGTACAGGTGGTTTTATTGCTCATAAATACCTAAAAAAAGGCATTCTGACTGAGTGGGGTTGCCTTTCCACAGATTTGACCTGTAACTTGGTTTGGGTTAGTTTCCATGAAGATAGAAAAGTTTCATGCATGTGAAACATTCCAGACAAAGGAATAACATCTCCGTGGAGAAAAGCATTTGACGGACAGTCCACCAGAAAAGTTACACAGTGCACCTTTAATCATGTCCTATATATCCCTGTCAAATTTTGAAGTGATATATCATTGTTGAAAGAAATATAGAAAATAAATGCTCATATTGAAACAAATTTATGGAATTTTCGAGACTGAGATGGGTCTTTAGGATGGAGCTAATACAGTCAATCCTCTGTCAGTAAAAGCGTGTGGTTTGAAGCATAGTTCAGACTTTACAACGGAAACTGACATTTTTGTGTTCAATGGCAATGAATCAAAGTATAGGAGTAGGAATAAAAATGTTAGATTACTCAAGTTGAACAAGAAAATGATGAGCCTTTACATACCACATAAGTAACAAATATAAAGTTATACCAAAAATAAGTGTGCCTGGTATTAAAAGTCATACCCCCATATATATAAATAGCATGTAAAAATTGACAGTTGGAAACTTCATAGTAGTAAAGTATAGTAGAATAAGTGCCAACTGGCTATTTTTGCAGTTAACTTTTTGATTAGGTTAAATTGGTCTAGTTGAATTAATATTTTTGTGTTAATTTTAGCAGATGTAAATAAAGTTGAATCAAAGCATGACCCTTACCTTTGCCGTTCACTTCTCCTGGCCTCGGTTGCCTTGTCGTATCTGCAACACAAATGACCACACTTCCTCAAACCTCACTTTTACTTTCACTTTGGTTCACTTTTCACAGTAAGGTATGATTACAATCACTATCCATAGCTGTGTCTGTATGGCTTAATTCTGCGTTAAATATAGATCACATTTTAGGTTTCAGATGGGTGTGATTGACAGGTGAATTAGCCAATCAGGGACACGCATGGTTTGTCCGTATCCCTTTAAATGAATTAATTAATAAATAATCAGAACCTGTTTTTTACATGTTTTCTGTTAGAATAGCTTGTCTTACACTCTGCATGAGTTTTTCTTTATACTGGAAATTTGTACTCAAGTAAATGTAAAATTTCAAGGCTAAAAATGTACTGTACCATTATTTTATATTTCTCCAAGCTCTAACCGATCAAAGCAGGTGATGTTGTATGCCAGTTTTTAAAGGAGCAGAGAAAGCAATGGAGTACACAGATACGACTTGTACAGTACTCAGTAACTTCTGTGATTTAAATGTAACAATTACATGGTGAGAATTATACTCAATTTGAAGTAGAAATAGTCCAATATGGATTTTTTGAGCCAATATCTGATAATCACGTTGCTGTTGGCCAACTGATATTTGCTAATACCAACATTAAGCTTTTAAAATCTATAGTAAAGTAATGAAGTCATAGTGAAGTTTACAAATTAACTTATTGCTTTGTAAAAATAATAACAAAATGTATTTATCTGGGATATGAATTTATATTTCCACTCATTAGTCTGTTTAAAAATACAAGTCTGAAGCACTAAAGACAAACGGGGAATGACATATGGACACAGACAGTCTGAGGGGAAAAATATCATCAAATGTTTAAAATCGGGTTGATGACTATAATAATCATTTACCATACCATATACCATCCCTAAATAAGTACAAGTATATGTTTAAAAATCTGCTCAAAAGTCCAATTACCTCAAATTACAACCAATTACAGCAATATAAGCAATGTAATGACTCACTCACTCATACAGAATACTCACGTGACACACTGAACCCAAACACGCTGTCATACTCCTTCATCAACTTCTTTAGCAGAGTGCTCTTCCCTGCTCCAGACGGGCCACTCAGCACCACAGGCCTGGGTCCAGCCATCGCTACAACACAAAGAAAACACACAACTGTTCAACCCAGGAAGAGAGAGGAGGAGAAACCGCTCCGTATGACGCGCTCAAACGTGTGTGTTATATTGTGAGTCACGCAACAACCCAGGAGACACTTTTTAAAGGACTGAGTGGACTAAATCACTGCAACAAGTCAGCAAAACAAACGCACCCTTGACACTTCTCACCACTCAGGCACATTTGTAAAGCTGTGGCGTTACCATGGAGCTAAACCAGGAACAATAGTGGTCTAATTGGAGAGCCCTACTTAGCGACTTAGCCTGTGCTGATTATGGCGATGGAAAAACAAAAGCAAAAAAATAATACCAGTCTGGAGTCAATAAAGTTAGTGTGGAGAGAAATTGCGAAATATTTTACCTCAAGGGTTGGATTCTTCGGTCTTGTCTCTGTCTGTTAGATTGTAGTGATCATAGGAAAGAATAAAAATGGGTGTGACGCTTTTGGAGTATGTATAGAGCGAACATGGGAGGGGCCATACACACACACACACACACACACACACAGAGCCACAAGCACATATTTTTGTCTGGGCCAATGGAAGAACAGGATCAGGGCTAGTGCAATGTTCTTCTTATAAAGTAGTATTATTTTTAAGTACTTTTACGCATGTTTTTTTTTCTTGTGCACATTTTAGTACATAAATAAGTTTCATTGTGTTTCTCTTCCCCTATTCTGTAAATTAGGGCTATAATATTAATCAGATTTCAGTCATTTCTTATCAATTATCAGTGATCAAGAGAAAATTTAACTATTTTTATGTTAAATGGCAATTGAATAAATGTCTGTATCATGTTTAGGAAATGAAGACTGAATGTTGAAATTTTGTTTTTTTAAATAAGAGAAAATAAAACTGAATGACAGATTTTTTTCCTCCCATTATACCAATTATAAACAAAGATCATTTGTTTTGTCTTGAAAATGTTATGTTTTATCTGATTATATATTATGTACAAACAGCTACTCTGGGTGCCTACTTTGCCTCCAAATGAGTAATCGTATTTATTTAAAGTCGCCCGTGCTAATATAATTGTTTACATGTATGATTGCAATTGTTAACAGTTCATGATAGTTATGTGGCAAAACTGAGTTCCTGAAAAATTGCTTAGGGTTCTATGAGGAAATAAATAATATGACTTGTTTTGTCACAACACACACAAGAAAAACTGGTTGGTAAAGGTGTAGGAGACTGAGGATGCATTCCATGATAGTAGTTATTCTGCTTACAAGCATGGATTTATTCATTATTCAAAATGTAAACAAAAAAAATGCTTTTTGAGGTGTTTTGGCATTATGAGATGAACAGACTTCAGAGGAGGGCTAAAATGAAAAACTTTGACGTTTTGAAATGTTACTAGTGCTATTTTGTTTTTAAATTCCTATGGTGGAACAAAGTATACTTTAAATGACTCATTTCCCACCTCAACTTATTTTTTTTAATCAATTCATCAACAGCAAATTAACATGACCTCTTACAGCCAAGTCCATTTGTGCTGCTGTTTGCTGTGTTGCTATTTTTTTCTCCAAAATTATTAGACATGACCACTTGTATCTAAAAACATTGTACACCTATATGTTTTTGGTGACATATTCTTTGATAATCATTTAGTTGTTAATTTCTGAAAAAGACTTTTACTAACCTAGATAAAGCTCATGGAATAAAACCTGGCCATTGTTGGCTCAGAACATCTCATAAAGTTTAAACTTATACAAGGCAGCTCTGTAGTTACTTGAAGGATAAATAAGAGTTACATAACACATTTGGACCAGTTTTGTCATGTATTTGTTTTAAAGGAAATGATTTAAAACTCTCCTCTAGCATCAGTTTATATTGGGTACCAGCAGCAAAAAATGAAAGCTTAAAGTATCGAAACTGGCATCAGATCTGAAAAAGCTAGGTTGGTGAATCCCTAAATTGTATGTTTGTTTGTTTTTTTCATTAAGTGATTAAAATGCTTCTCTAAAATGCATCTGGCATGTTTTGGAGTGTTTTGGAATCAGTTCAGCTGCAATCAAGCAAAGCCCCCAAGCGCTCTTAAACTGTGATGCCATAGAAAAAGAGAAGTCCAACCACGACCTTTAATTTTCGTGAACAGCAAATCAAACCAAAAGCTCCTGCCACACATCTACTCACGTGTCAAGTGGTTTTCAGACAGCTCCACAATTCGTCCAAAATGACACTGCTCCATATTAGCATTACGGCTATCCTAACATTTGACCCAGGCTAATGTGTTTTGCAAAACTACATGGATAACTTAAACCAGAGTATTGTCAGTGTTCAGGTTTGGCAAACAGAGCTAGGCCTCTCCAGGTGCATCTGACAAGGCTCACTTGAACATTGCACCGGGCTAATTAAAGGCATACACCTCCCACAGACAGACAGATAGGGGACACTCGCCTCAACTAAGCCATCTTGGAAATCAATCAACAGTCCTTTACTCAATTAATGGGACATTGATATTTTATTAGAATTAAAGGGCCCATATTACTCAATTTTTTTAGATCTATGTTATAAAGTTATTCCCTCATCAAACACATACCTTGAGTTGTGCTTTGTTTCATTCACACATGTTTAACACACAAGCATATTTAGGAATTTTCTCTCAAACAAAAGACACCTTTTGATGTCATGTAGTAGTACAGTAAGAGCTCCACTGTGTTTTTAAACTCCATACACATCAACTAGAATCATCTGGATGATTTCCGCATCATGACATCACAAAGTACGCAAAGTGAAACAGAGCATTTTGTGCTTTGGAGAAGTACGGAGCCTAATGAACCAAGTTCCCTCAAACATGTGTGAATGAAACAAACCACAACTCTGAGTAAGCTTTTGATGAGGTAACAAAATTATAAACATGGCTTAAATTTCACAAGAATCTATTTTTTTTATTAAGATCAGATTTATATGGACCACCGCAGAAAGAAGAAAACTTGCAGTGAGTTATCTGCAGTTTTGGGGGTGACTGGACAGTTTAATCTGCTTTTTCACATATGAAGGTGCCATTTACTTGTACTTCTCTATAGTAATTTTTGCTCAAGATCAGTGCCACACCACATCCTCTGTTAGTCAGTTAATTGATGCACCAAGGATTTCTATACAGCCCTAGGCCTATCACGATAACAAATTTGGAAGCACAATATATTTGAACTACTTTATGTCACTGACACAATAACAACAATACAAGATACTTCCAGTAATCCATTTTAAATAGACAGTATCATTAAAAAGCCTGAGCTGCAATAACATATACATATAAATAACAGAATGCTATTGGTCAATAATTAGGCATAGAAGTTACTTATTTACAACAAATATACCCCAAATCCCTCCTTTTGCAAAGAAATTGTACACAAAATAAATACTGAGCCCTAAAATATATTGTTCCTGCTATCAGATATTAAATGATAAGTCAATATTGTAATTATTGTGACAGGCCCATACAGCCCTACAAATCTGAGAATTTTAGACTAATAGATTTAACTTCATCCTAAAAATCCTGGTTAGTAGTTAGATGCTGGATTATGCAAAATCTCATTGAATTTTTTGACAAACTTTTGAACTGGATAGAAGCATTCAGTTTGCTATAGTATAAGTAATGGTAGTAAGAGTCACTTTTTATTAAAAATAAAATAAAATAAATATGAAGAAAATTAACTGATGAAAATAATAGACAGGTTTTAATACATAGAACCCCACGAGACAGGATATGTAGTCACAGCAGATCTTATTTGACTAAGTACACGGTCTGATCACATTTCATGCTGCAATTTTGGTGGGAAAATTGCATCATTTTTTTTAAACTTCAAAAAGTTAAATTGATGGCTGAGTACTATTAGTTTATCTCATATTCAAGAAATAAAGGAGCTGAATTCAGAGCCTGAATCTCTACACTACATTAAAATAACAAAGGAACACATCAAAGAAGTGTGAAACTGCCCTCCCTTTAAAATACATAAGGACTGGTGCAAAAAACATTCAAGTGACTGTAGAACTGCTCTACTCCTCTGTATAACAAAAAACTTGACATTAAGGGCATGTGACTGTAAATGACAACCATGTGAGACTACCACCACACGGTAATTATTATATGTGGTAGTGGCTAATTTACCATGTGACTGACAACTAATCAGTCATGTACTTTCTATTACTTGAGTATCAGTTGCCTTTATCTAAACATTTGTGCTCGTATGACTCACACGTGATATCACTGTAACAAGCACATCATTCATTTCAGGAAGTTTTGCATTTTGACCCTCTTTGTAATAATAAATAATATACTTAGACTTTACAGAAACTAGAGCAAGAGGCCTACGTTATCACCATTGTTCTGCACTTTGATACTCAAAAGCAATAAAAAGGCTAGACAAAGGAAGCATATGGGAATAGACATAGATGCATTGTTTTGTTGTTGTACTTTGCTAAAATACACTTAAATACAAAAACCATATGGCAATTTCGTTACAGCTGAAAATACGTTAGAGTCTTGAAGACACTGGAGAGGTGAATGGCATCCTGGTGACACCTTTTATTCAGAAGACGTGTTATGAAAAGAACATATTTAGGTCCTACCTGAATATAACCTCGTCAACAATCTCATGTACATTGGAGTGCACGTTAATCCAAGTAGTGGGAGTCGTTTTTGGAGTGTTTTCTGCCCCCAAAGCGTTTTGCTTTTGCAATGAGAGCCATCAGGGTTTGCCTTTAGTACTGCCTACGTCATCTCTCCGGGACGAAACATCAACAAGCTCATGGGCGCCGTAAATACGCGTAACCACCACACACCGAGACGCGTGTTTTACTTTAGTGATCTGGAAATAAATACGTGTGTGCAATAGTTCAGTCGCGTCCACTTAACGAAACATAAACGAAGGCTATTCGAGGAAACGGCTGAAGCAGTAACTATTTAACAAGCTTTGCCGAACTTCTGTGGACATTAGCTTCGCATTAGCATAGCAAAGCAAAAGAAAAGGCGTCGAAGTCGGTCACGAAAGATTGTTTCTGTAAACTAGTATTTACCGTGATCTTTAGTGGTGATTAGTTAGCCCGCACCCCGTTCAACACCTCGTAGGTCACTTGAGTGAAAACTTTGGGATGAGCCCAGCGCAGGCCTGATGATCAGTGGCTCCGCTGCGACTAGCGCAAGTAGCTCTGAGCTAACGGGATCCGACCTTATCTGCGTCTCTTAGCTCGCTATAATGTTCGGTTCGTCGAGGGCCGGCGGGGTAAGAGGAGGACAGGACCAGTTCAACTGGGATGACGTGAAAGTTGATAAACACAGAGAGAATTATCTGGGTAAGTGCTCGTATCATCTACACACAGTAGCATAACTTTTGGCTCGGATGCAAGTAGCGCGGTGATCTACTAAAGTTATCTCCACTGCTTTCATACCTGTCACTCTCGCGTCCCTCATTCCACAATGGACGGATTGGTCTGTTTGTTGGATATTGGTCTTTTGTGCAGCTTTAATATTCTTGGGTCCTTGCCCTCATTGCCCTGTGAGCGAACACGTCTCCTCAACGTGGGCGCACTACTGTCGCTGTGCCAAAGTGGAGCTACGCAGCGGCGCACAGCTGCTCACAGCACATAAATGCACTGCACAAAACCAGGGTCAAGTGGCCTCCGTTAATGCATTATAAATAGCCCCACCAGTCAGTACTAGTTCTGGGGTACATATTGTGTGATCACAACTTTGCTTTCAATATAACAAAAGGGAACCTTTATTTGTGCTACAATGAGGAAATTTTAAATTGTTACAAAGTACAAGAACAGCAGAAGAATAAACTGCTGTCAAAAATCAAGATGAATAACCATGAATAGACTTAAATCCCACCTTTTAACTAGAATATCAAAATACATTTTCAGTCACATTAAGATACAAAATAGAGTAAGAAAAAAATACTAGTTTTGCTTAGTTGCTCAGTTATTTATTTAAATAGAAATAATAGTTTGGGATGGTTCGATTTGTTTATTTATCACTTTTTTTTTTTTTTTTTTATAAAAAATGATCAGATATTTGTCTTACTGTTGTGACCAATAACCAATATTTTCAGATGCTGGAACTCTATATGCAGACCAGATTATTTTTAGTTATAGTGAAGTTTACACATTTTTACACAGTTTTGTAAAAAGACAAATCTCATGCACTGAGGACAAACTGGTAATGATGAATGGGTACACAGAGACTTGGGCAGTGCAGAAAAAATATTGGTGCCACATATCGGCTAGATTTTTAATATCAGACTGGAATCATAACTGTGGAAATCCTGCGATATCACAGACAACCAAAACATCATCCCTAATGTGTAGCATTGTTATATGTTAATAACCTATGTTAATAGAGAATTGGTTACAAGATTTCCCCCCATGTGGCCTTGTTTGTTTGTAGGAAACTCACTGATGGCTCCTGTGGGGCGATGGCAAAAAGGCAAAGATCTGACATGGTATTCTAAAGACAAAAAGGGTGCAAGTTTGTCCAAAGCAGAAGAAATGGCTGCTGTGAAAGCTGCAGAGCAGGAGGCCATGATGGCAGCCCTGTGAGTCACAAGTGTGATGCATTACATACTAAATCAGGCAGAGTGCATTCAGTGATTTTGTTTTTGACTTTTTATAGAGGTCACAAGAACATTAAGAGACAACCCACTGGCCTCACCAAAGAGGTAAGTAGTCATTTTGTTACATATTACAATTTACAGCATATTTGTAAGCACACTGTTTTAACAGTGTTATTATTGTTCCCTCTAACAGGACCTGGCAGAGGTTTATAGGAGAGAAGAACCAGAAGGGGATGAGCGAAACGTTGACCGCATCTCAGGACTGGGCAGTTCTAGGTAAGTTCAAATACCTATCTTATTTATTCTATATTCTCTGCATCAACACCATCCAGTGAATAGTGGTGGTGATACACTTGAAAATGTCTTGGTTGCTTTTCGAGTGTAGCACAATGGACCATATAATGCAACCACAAGGGCAGAAATATCACTTTAAATATTGTTTGGAAGATTACATGAGACATTTCGGTTATTTTTGCATAATTTTAAATGGTTTTATTTAATTGTAAATGATCAACTCATGAATCTAATTTTGCATATCTCCATAACAACTCTACTCTATCAACTCTACTTCAGCACTTACATTTGACTTGGGCCTGTAATTCAAATAACACTTTAAATACTTTCCTTTTTGGTCACAATGCATTTCACTTTGATTTCCATTTGATAAATAATGTAGATTTGTATTGACAGTGGTGGAAGGAAGATGGTGCTGTCTCAAAAGGAAAAAGAAGCTGCCAAAATGGGACTACCTGTTTTTACTGTAAGTCCACTTTGCTACACAAATGTACTGGCTGTGATTGAATATAATATAATGTAATACTATTTCTGCAGCATCACAAGACAGAGGGTCAGCCAGAAACGTCGTCAGTAAAAACATCTGAGAAAACGCAGAAAGAAGAAGAAGAATCAAGGTGAGAAAAAAAAAAGCAAAATGAAAAAGCAAAACGATTAGTTGTCAATCGCAGCTAATCATGTTGTTTTTAACAGGGACGAAAGCAAAAAGAAGAAGAAGGAAAAGAAGCACAAAAAAGAGAAAAAGAAGAAAGACAAGAAGGAAAAGAAAAAGAAGAGACACAGAAGAGACTCATCCTCCTCGGAGTCAGAGGATGAGAGGAAAAGGTTTGTCCAAATCTCAACACTAGAGGGCACTAACATACAATATTGTTATACTCCATAGCTTCTTGATGCATTCAGGGAGACAATTGGCCTCCTAATTACTCATATATTATAGATAGATTCTAGATAGATTTATTTTTACTACTTTCTTACTTGTATTTTAGATACATACAGAAGACATAAAATAGATATATGAAATTATGTACTTCAATAACTCTACTAAACTTTTTTTCTAAATGCTACATAATTTCATACATTTTACTTCTGTATGTATATAGAATGTGGAAAATAAAATATATACATAAAAAAAAGAAAACATTGAACATTGAGATGGTGGGTCCAAACATTTGACTAGTAGTGTCCTTTGACGAAGAGAACCATATGCTGTATTGTCACAGCACGGGGCATCTGGTTTAAAAATCCTGCCAGATGACTTGTAGATCTATGCTGCTGTACACCCTACAGTATTCAGCTCAGCATAATCAACTGGTTTATTGATGAGGGACAGCAAGATTCCATATTCTACAGGTGTGACTCTGTAACATTTAAAAAAAAAAAATCATAATCTTTTGAATGTTCATCTTTTGGAATTACAACCCTACTTGAATACCTCTCACTCACCACTCATCCAGCACTGCGACCCGATCACTGATTGTTTGCTTCCTTTTGCTCTTCAGGCACAAAAAGGACCACCATCGTCATAATCCATCATACCATAGTCAGAGTGGAGCCAGACCCCATGACAACCATTCACAGGGGGGAGCAAAGGGCGGCGCGCACCCCTCCCACGGCGCACAGAGGCAGAGACACGACACAGACTCATCCGACGGGGGGTCTCCGAGGGCCCGGCTCAGGACGGCCCCTGACAGAGAGCCACAAAGCCACAGGCGACGCCACGACACGGACACGGACTAATGTGATACACCCCCCCACTTAAGCATGTGTTCTACAGACAGCCAGGAGAGGAGGTGCACGCAGCCCAAAAAGCCGAGGGGTGCTAGAGTGTTCACTACGGGTAGATGTGATGTTTTTAACTATTTTTGTCATTATTAGAACGGCTGCTGTCCCCTTTGATTTTAATTTTATGATCTTACGTGAGGAGATAAAATGTTTGTGTTAAGTGCCTTCATGTCTTTTTTTCCTGTGTGGTCAAATATCAGTTATTTTGTCTCAATTGAATATGATTATTGGGATTATGGCTCCTAGGAAATGGAATAATCATTTATATTTATGTCTTTTAGACCATTCAAAACGAAACCTTTTACTATGACCATACTCACCTAACCCTAACCCTCACACTCTCAAGTACTCCTAATTTGGGCACTAGGCAAAAAATGGATCAGTAGTCATTTGTCAGTTATTACTACTATTTTATATTGATGTCTTATCCTCTAAAACGTTCTTAAAAGTGTAATATTTACTAGAAATTCTAACACTATTAGAAATTGTATTGTGTAACTTAATATAAGCAATGAATTTCAAGATTTTATTCTGGAGAGAAAAAATGTATGACGATCAGACTGATTAGTAATTTTCGTAACCAATGTAGCTGTCATGGGAGTTGGTTACAATCATCAATCATTTTAAGTCGTAGTACATAATAGCTTGTTATCTGCATTTTTATTTTATTTGAATTATGTACTATTTAAAATTTTCTATTTAGGTAAATAATTTGATCATTTACATTACATTAGCCTGAACAGCGGACATTTTTCTCAACCTGTTCTCTTCTAATCCTTGACCATGTATCCCGCCTGGACCCTGCTCTGCTGTGATCCCCGTGGAATGCTCTCCACTGCTCAGAATGGACTGGAGTGTTTGCACTGGCCCTGAATCGAACTGAAAGAGGGTTATTCTGCTGCCAGACACCTGGGGGGTACACTAAAAAGAGCAAGCCATTCATAATGAAGAGTGTGGAGAAGCAGGCTGGTTACCGTTAGACCACCTCACACAGGCAGCAGCAGGGGGCGCACGAGTGACAATGAGGCACCCAGTATCTCCTTCACTTCAGCACTGTGCTTTATAGGCCTGGGTGCATTAACCATAGCAGCCTAATCAAGCTAAAAGAATGCTGTCCTAAATTGTAAGCACTATACAATGTGGAGAGGGTGTGCTCTCCTCATTACGGCTTTAACCCAAATATTGGCCGGTTTGGGATACCTCGGGGCAACGCATTTCTTCCCAGGTCAAAGATTGTATGGCCCAGTAGGAGGCTGCCACACAGGCTTAGAGTCACTTTTCAAGTATTCTATTACCATTATTGTACGTATTCTATTCAAGGTAAGGAAAAAAACTATGCCTGCAACCTAACTTAAAACTTGCTTGTACAATTTCTATCAAACATGCTTACAAGTTTATTAGCAAAGACCAATCCTAATAGTAAGAGTGGTTATAACACTTTTGTGATTACATTTTTAGTATATTAGAATTTATGCTTTTTTTTAGGATTTTGATTGCTCCCCAGTTTATTTAATACAAATAATTATTAAAACATAGTAAAAATGGAAGTGGGAAATGGCTCAACATATGTTTCAATAATCAACTTTATTGCATAGAGAAAATACAGAAATCAGTTACAGAAAATATCCAATCACTTCAAATACAGTGCCTTATCTCACATTGCAAAACAACATAACAAAATAAAGTTTTCAAACATTCAGACCAAAAAGACGTTATCCACACGCAAGTAAAAGCCTGCAGTTTGAAAATTGCGACAAGCATGCCAAGTAAGCTGTTAAACATCCCTAAACTTCATGCCAAATAAAATATATAGGCTATAAGCAAAAGATAGCAATGATTAAAATTCGTATTTGATAAAGCCTCTTAGTACAAACATGAGGGGCATGGCGACTCCATTTAAGTTGCACAGTGCATACCAGTGAGGAGTAGGCATCAGGTACCTGCTTGGCAAGAAATGCGTGTTAAATGCTCAACACAACCTGAGATCTTGTCACATGATTTCAAAAGGCTGCTAAAACAAAGTAGGGTGGTAATAATAATGTAATGTTCCTCTACAGTACAAAACTAGCACTGTTCATTCCCACACTGTAAAATTAGATTGCATTGAACGATGGGCTCCAAGGTGCTGCTGGTGATTTCTCTGCAAATGCCTCTTTGTGATTTAAAAGTAAAGGTTGTCCCAAAAGAGAAAGCGACAAAAGTAGAATGAGTTTGAGTGCAAGAGTCCTCCCCAATACCAAATCTATTTACAATTCCATAAAATAACTTTTACAAGAATAGAATATCTCAACCGCATGTCTGCTTTTTTAAAAAAAGGGCTTTGAGGTCAAGGCAGCTTCCAGTCGCTGGGACAAGGTCGCTTGGTTTTCAACACCTTATGAGTACATACAAAGACATTTGGTGGAGTACATGAGTAGTACACAGGAGCTGGCATTATTTACTGTGTTTCAACTGGTTTGATAGCCAGTCCAATCCCTCGTACAAGCCATCTCCGGTGGTAGCACAGGTGGCCTGGATGTACCAGTTCCTGTTGCGTAAAGAGTGCAGGCTCAGTTTCTCTGTCAGCTCAGCTGCAGACATGGCGTTAGGAAGATCCTACAAAACACAGCGCCATATAAATTGTCATTTTCAGATACAAAAATGTGCTTGAGATAAATTAGCTGAATCCAGGGTAACCTGGAACACGTAAAATCATGTGGGCTTTACAGGCTTTAAATCTACCATCTGTTCTATCTTTCTGTATTGGATTCACAAGTTATGGTAATTTGTCTCAACTCTGTTGACACACTTACTGAGATAACTAATGCTAAAGCAAACCAGTGGTTGCACTAACAACATTATGAGTGTAATGTACGTGGTGCGCAGTACCTCTTCACAGTTAATACACAAATGATACAGTTGCCCTATACACAGACCTGTTAAGACTTTGCTCTAGTGCTGTGTGTCCAGTCACATGCCCTGTCTCACCTGTTTGTTGGCAAACACCAACAGCACAGCATTCCGCAGCTCATCTTCAGCCAACATCCTCATGAGCTCCTCGCGCGCCTCAGTGCAACGCTCTTTGTCGTTACTGTCCACAACAAAGATCAGGCCTGGAAGCAGGGGGAATAAGTAGGTTTTTAAAGGGTTTAAATGTTTATACTTCCAACTAGACCAGGGAAACCACTTACCTTGTGTGTTTTGGAAATAATGACGCCACAACGGACGGATTTTGTCCTGACCACCCACATCCCACACGGTAAAACTGATGTTTTTGTATTCCACCGTTTCTACATTAAAACCTGAGAGAAAAGAGAGAGTTATACCTGTACATGACAGCCATTTGCCTCAGACACAGAACTGAAAGGAGACATACCTATTGTGGGAATAGTCGTGACTATTTCTCCCAGTTTGAGCTTGTATAGTATGGTGGTCTTCCCGGCAGCGTCCAGCCCCACCATCAGGATCCTCATCTCCTTCTTCCCGAACATGCTGAAGAGCTGCGCGAACATATTCCCCATGGTGACGGTCTGAGGTAACAACAGTCTGAACACAGCAAAATGAAGACGTTAAACACCACATAATCAATGCTACAACAGCACCGGGCATTACAAAGCTTTACGGTAAAGACAGAAGAGGAAATTTCTCTTAGGTGATCTTAGTACACTCCATGTTAATCAAAATAATCCACTGTCTAGTATTATCTAACTCGCAAAATGTAGTGTCCTCATTAAAAGTAAAGTAAAATGACAAGAACCAAAATCACCGGGTTCTGAGAACATTTCAAGTTTAATCGATCAGACTAATCACCTTAGTTAGCTTATACCCAGAGCTAGTTTAGCTTTGAACCGTGATGTGTCAACTCTGTTTCTAATTTCCATCATTAAATAGACACAGACGTTTCCCTGCCCACAGATAATGTTGGATGAAGCGTTTTGAATAGTATATAGACAGTAAACGCAGATAAAAGAGCCTTACAAAGTGCTGAAGCGGCTTGCTGCCTCGTTAAGGCGTTTCCTTGTTGGGGAAAATGGCGTTGTTTTGACACGTCAGTGGTGCCCACATCCGCTCTGCCGCGCCTCCTCTCAGCCGCGCGGACACAACAGCGCCCCCTGTCGCTCCTGCCGCACACAGCACATCGCAACTGCACATGGAAGGAAGCCTGACTGCGTCTGACAACAATACTACAAAAAGGAAAGTATCCCAATACAATAATGATGTTTTCATTTTAAATGGTACACTGAGTGCTTTTTGTTTGTTTGAAGGGGAAAGCAGAACTGTTGTTCCTTTGGCAGTCCATGGGTTTCAGAGAGTTTCAGAGTGATGAAAAGTTGAGATTGTCACCATAGCAGTTATAGCAGTTACAAAATATTATATCTTTTGAATGGCCAGTCTTCCTCAAAATGGCAGCACAGGAAGCTAAAATCCATGGATTGTCTAATCTTCCACAGAGTATGGCATACATCTCCAGCCAGAATGTTGGTATGGTTTTAAAAGACCATTTCCATGTTTGTGCTCTGCATTTGACCCACCCTTCATTGTCATTGAGGCAATCAACCTGGCTGCAAATAAGCTTCATCAACAAAATAAACGTAAATGTCTATGTACAATTATGAGGGCCACTTGGGCTTGTGTCAAATACCAGACCACTCAGTTTAGTGCAGGTTATGTTTGATAGCTTTGTGTAGGTTTAGTACTGTCACTGCAACCACAAAAGTTTAAAATTATAATAAGTGTAGCACTGCAAAAAACGAAAAAGAAAAAAAGAAAGAAAACAAACAATAAAATGTGCAACTGGTTCCAAAATTGTCTTCCAAATAGAACCGGGCAGTATTAACCAGTGGGTTTAAATAAAAATTTTTAACTTTAGGCAAAGGAGTACCCCAAGGCTCAATTTTGGCCCCGCTACTTTTTACAATATTTATTAATACCACTGGCTGTAATTGAAAGGGTATATTATGCTGTTTTCTGATCTATGTTATCATAGATCACAGACAGACCTGGAGTTGTGTTTTGTTTCATTCACACATGTTTAACACACAACCCTATATATTTAGGCTGAGTCCTTCTCTCAAATGAAAAACACTCCATTCCACGTTCCACCTTGTGATGTTATGTGGTTATACAGGAAGTACTCCACTGGTTTTTGAACCCTGCACACCACACACTCGAAATATTTGGATACTTTCAGTCCTGGAATTTCCTCTTTACTACCTAAATTGTAAAAGGTAGCTGGTAACTTAAAAACTACTGCTTCATGGCAAGTGGATCAGAGTGTTTTGAGCATTGGAGATGTAGACACACTAATAATAAAAGGTTTCTGAAGCCTGTGAATGAACTCCAGGTATGTTTTTGATGAGATAACAACATAATAACATAGCTTAAAACATACAAGAGCCCGTTTTGCAATATAGGCTCTTTAAGAGAACCCCTCATACACTGATATGCAGATGATGCTGTTTGGTATGCAAGTGCTCCCTCTACTGACCAGGCGATGTTAAAACTGTAGCACGGTTTTAATAAAATCCAATATTTCCTAAAAGATCTTAAATTATCATTAAATGCAAATAAAAATAAATATGTGATTTTCTTCTAAAAATAAAATTAAGTGATGTACAAGTTACAAATCTTTATACACTATATGAATAAATGCCACCTATAATTATCTTTTGGCTTGATGAAAACTTATCCTTTTATTATAGAAACAAATCTTGTATTTTATTGTGTTACAGAAAATAAATGGTTCAAGCTACTTTTCTTTCTGTACTAGATTATGGAGATATAATATACATGCAGAATTCAGCCTCTGCTTTGAAACTTTAGACACACTCTTTCACTCAGCCGTTCATTTCATAACAGGCCATGAATTTAAAATCCATCATTATAACTCTATGAAAAAGTGGGTTGGCCGTCTCTACCTGTCAGAAGTGAGCAACACTGTGTAACATTTATAAGGAGCTTAAGGGACTACTTGACAGACTGCCTGATTAGCTCACTTGTTTGCTGAACTTTTATATAGCAACTTTTAATATAAGATCTTGTTTATGTAAAAAGAAGTGAAATATGAAAAGAAGCATTTTAATATTCTGGTGATGGACATTTATAGAAACATCTGCATCTGTTTTAATGCTTTACATGGGCCTGTACAAATGTTATTGTTTTTTGGTTTGTATTGTCTATTGCCTATTACGGGTGCTATATCGGGTATATCGGGTGCTCATGAAAAAGAGTGTTCCTTAATGGGCTCTCCCTGTATAACTGAAAATGAAAAAAAGAAATTAGTAGTTTTGTCTTTATTGTCTTTATTTTTAATTGCTTATTTTGGATATCCCAGGCTATTCTAAATATTTAAAATGTGATACACATTCTGTAAAAAAAAAAAAAATTGCCATATGCTAACTATTAGATGTATTCAACTAAAGAAATTCTTGGGTGGTCAAAGACATTCACTGTGCATCAACTAATCAAGACTTTAGGCTACATTTCAAAGGCATATGTTCAATTCTATTATTTTACAGAGCCTATTAAATATGTTTAATAGTAGTTGTAGTTTGTAGTTGTAGTTTTATTCGAGGCCTTTACTTTTGTGTATAATCTTATAAATGTGTGTTGACTCGTAGCTATTTCAACACCAGAATTGGCATCATATGCATGCATATGTATGCATATATATGCGCGCATTTACAGCCTGTCTAAGATGCACGTTGGAAGGGATATTGCCGTGGTAATCATTGGATCGCCACTTAAATAAAGGAAATCTTTTGTTAGGTGCTGTGGTGGTGCCATGCAGTCTGTCCTCCGGTACGACTCCAGTCACTGAAGATCTATGGCCATGTTTATAAACCAGGGCACTTCCACTTTGGCCCTGAATGCCCAGGCATGTTATTGTTGGAGGTGTTGAATTTTAACCAGGGTCAACTATGCCTCCTACCCCCAGCAGAGGGGGCAACCGCAGGAGGCAGCCTGGCTGTATAGAGGAGCTGATGGACCACACAGCGCAGACTCATAATACTACCTTAATTTGTGGGTGAGCTGTGCCAAAATGCCTTTCGAGATGGCTTTCAGCATATTTTCACAGCGACAGTGCACGATTTATGTGTTTGGAACATGTTTACAGAACAGTCGGCCTAATTGTTCATCAACCTATCACACAATAAGAAGGAAAAAAAAAAAGAAGGAAAAATTGCATCTCCTGTTTGTCTGATGAGTCAAAACAACAAATTGCGGTGTTTAAAATGAATTCAGAGAAGTCAGCAGTTGCCATGGTGATAATTATAATAATGGAGAAAGGATAAAACTAAAAGCAGGCCAAATGCCAAATCTAAAACATCTTTATATAAATTTAGATTTAGATTGATTCATGCATGTTTGAGCAATACTGTATTCTCCTGCATCTGAGTGCTCAGACAATTTCTAAAAGAATATTGTGTCTTCTCTAAAGCGATAGTATGTTACTTTCTGGTGGAAAGCTGGGATGGAAAGTCAACTGCATGATTCCATGGAAAAACAAAGTTAAAACCATACTTCAGAACATTCTCAATGGATAGATATGTTTTATGCCATACTGTGGATGATTCTATCCGAAGGAACAACATTTCCATGGAAATAAGCAGGAGAAGGACGGTTTGTGGAGATGCAAGTGCATGTTTTTCAGTGCAATAAGCACATCCATAATGAATAATACATCCTGTTATTTGAATCTATTTTTTAGCAAAAAAAAAAAAAGTTATTCTGGGGCTTTTAAAGATGCATTGTCTGAAGAAGACTTTAAATATTATTGGGCACCATTGAACAATCCGTGCTCAGGGTGGACTTGCCCATGAGCATAATTTATGTTGTGACTATCGTGCTGTATTGTCTAAGCTAAATATTACCTTCCTTACATACAGTAGATCTTTATTCCTGTCTCTGTCCTTCACTGGTATCCTTCACCAGTGTTGGAAAGAATTCACTGAAAATGTATTTAGATATAGAATAATGAATACCTGCATTAAAATGTATTTTGTATTGAACTGAATATACAGTTCAATCAGATTACTGTATTCTGTATACATGAAATACTTTTATATTGAGTTGCTTTTAAATTATAGTGCAGCAATGCAATGTGAGATTAAAAACAGCTTCATGTTTCTTTAACCGTTTGTTATGCATTTATTTATCACTATTTGGAGAGGGAAAAATTTCTCATGCACTCGCCACAAGAGTAGTGTTTTCTATTTTTCTCTAATATTGTGCAGTTAGATTGCACAGTTACATTGTGTGATCAAGTACAACGATGTATTCTGATGTATTCTGGAAACGGTATTCTGAATATCACTAAATGAAAGAGTAACTCCAAAATACCAAAATACGGTTACTCAAAATGAGTTACTTTACATTGTCTGTCATAATTTCTGTGCACTAATGTGGATTTGCCAATTACCAATTCAACAAAGCCTCTTTTTGCTCTTAGAAAAAAGCAGTTTACAATAGACACATATTGCAATGCAATAAATGAAAGGTAGATAACAAGAAATTATCATACAAGCAAAAACTAAAATATTAAAAAAATAGTTAGAGCTACTGCGATTTCAGTCAAATTCATCAGTAGCAGTTCTGATCATGACCACCGGGTGTGAAACTGTCAGTTACACTGAACCATGTTTTTAATCACATTTTGATTAATAAGTATTATATAGTACTAATATTACATAATTAACAGTAACATTCAGCGATAAACTTATTTACTTACTAACTTATCTGTACATTTTATATTGAAACCGTACTAGAAACCAGATGGAAACAAATTTATATAACACAGGAATTCAAGAAAACCTTTATGTGACTGCATTATTCCATCTTACCTGGTTTGTTACACTCAGACCCATTGGGGAAATCCAGAGAAGCCGACCGTCAATGACAGACACTGTGGTAAAATCCATCTGCTAATTCTCTTCTGTATCCATTTTCATCT